AAGTCCTTCAGAAAGCGTCAATTTATTCATGAGACCAAAGAGCAATCAGTCCAATAGTCTAGTACAAAAGACTTTGGATTCATGGATTCTTGTTCTATAATTCTATATATCAACAATAAATCGTTTTGACACTCTATGATTTCCTTATCAATTTCAAGTTTTAACTAGCATGAATTTCAGGGTTGATCACAAACATTTAGGTTACAGACATGATTTGATTTACAAATATTTCAATGTCCAAACTTAGAGTGTCTAATTTTATGAAGGAAAATTCCATCAAATCCTTAAACAACAAGAGAATTAAAAACTTAAGGAATAATTCTCACTTTTGATAACTTTCTCTTGACAACAAAAGTAAATTTCAAGTCTGTTACCAATTTGATCAATAATTAATTCCATAGACACAAATACTTAAACATGATTTTCAACTTTATTGATAGTAACACAGGTCAACAACTCTGACATATATTAAGAAACACACTTCGATATGACATCGACATAATTATACTGCTCCGATGATCACACTAGTTTAAACTAAAAAAATGTTTGTTATTGACGGTGAGTGTAAAGTCTACTCTAATCACATAGTGGACTTTATGCCACGTGCATAAAGTTATTAAATATCAACATTTTATATTATTTATTCAAGCTTGCTCTCAATGCTAGTTTCATCCATTTTTCAGCTGATCAGACTTAAAAAGTTGTTCGTTGATAATAAAAAAAAAAGTTAATGTGGAGAAAAAGAAAATGTGGAGGCTTGACTTCTGTACTTTGTGTTTTTGTGTTATTCTCACTGCTATTTTTAAAAGAAATTGAAATGACTCGTTTTGTTTCCATAGCCAGATAGCAAGAGTCTCTTCTATAAATAAATATTTAAAATGCAAATAAAGGATGCTTAAATATTGATTAACTTATTTGCTGTAAAAAAATTTATAATTAAGTGTTGATATTTTTTGTAGCACAAATGAATGACTTGCTAATTTAATGTGTTAGGTCTCTATTGATATTCTCAAGAAACAACTGATTTTCTCAAATTATTTTTCAACACATTTAGGAAAAAAAGTTTTTAATTTTTTATTATTCAAAACTCTTTGTTTAAAGTATTATGCATGTATATTTAACCTGCCGACCTCGTATTCTCACAAGCTCGCTTAGGGGTACTTATTAAATGCATTTGTTTTTATTATCAATGATTGATTATAAAAGATTTTATTGAAAAAGTATTTTATTTAAACAAAAATTTGAAAATCTTTTTTTATAATATTTTTTTGAAGAACTTCGTTTAATTTTTTTTTGGATTGTTATTAATTTTTTTCGATCAAATCTGATCAAGTTATTTCACAAAAACAAAATACTTCTAATTAGATTTAATCTCGCACGTGTGTTTGTATTATAAAAGTAGAAATATTTTGCAATTTGAATAGAATGCAGTTAATAAAGTCCAAAGTCCAAAATCGTACAAAACAAGTCTCGAGTTGATAAAACATTCCACACAAAATTACTGTTTCCATAACATATCAAAGACAATTTTATCGGTCAGATATTTTTATCGGTTTCAATAATTTTGTTTTCTTTATAATTACACGCTTTTTATTAAGGTTTTAAATTCTAGAGACATTTTTGTTTAACAGCTTAAGATAGTCAAAATCTTTATTTTCCTATAAGATAACAAATTTTTGTGGCAAATTGACCAACCTTTGGATTTTAGTTTAATCTAAACTACTCTTTACAAATTTTGGTTAAAATATTGAGAACAAGGCGAAAAAAAACTTTAAGACCACGTGAAACTGTTTTGCGATTAGAACTGACCTTAGTTTAAGAATTATTGGAAAATACATGCTAATAAAATGTTTATTCTTTTGTTAAAAATTGACAAAAAAATCTTTATTTTGCAAGGCAATAAAATATAATTCAAATTAGAAATTCACTTGAAATAACTTTGAATGCTTACAAAAGTGATAAATAGTGTCAAACATATCATAGATTTTCATAAATCAGGTAATGAATTTATAAATTAACTGACATCATTTTAATCTAAAGAACACGAAAAATTCATCAAAATTCCCGACGGAAAATTAAACTACAATTATCTTAATTAAATTTAAAAAAACTCAACAAAAGGATAATCAATTAATTTTAAATTTTGATAAAGGTTAAAAAAAGTCAAGGTCGATCACATTTTCGTCATTTGATGATTTGTCAAGAAAGCAAAACAAAACAAGTGTCAAGTTTACAAACCGCACGTGTGAGATGATTTAATTTCAATTTGTTTTTACAACTTTCTTATAAAATAAAATTAAAGTAATGTGTAAATAGGATTAAGGCTCTATTATTCTTAAACAAAAAATGCAGGATTAAGGAGATTAGAACCTTCGGTTACTAAATTTGTTTATCTTAGATTAAGTTGCATAATTTTTTTTCAATCGCATGCAGTTAATAGCTCAAATACGCATCTAGCATCAAATTTTGATTTCATAAACATTTATAGCATAAAGAAACGGAGCATAATGAAATCTTTGGTATCGAGCCATAAAGACAGTAAATATTGAATTTCCTGTATTTCCAAGTAATGTTAATAATAGATGTCCAGCAATTATATTGGCAGAAAGTCGAGCTAATGTTCCAGGGCGAATAATATTACTAATAGTTGCAACTTTTTTGAAAATGTGGGTTTGATTCAGTGTTGCATTCTGGCCATTTGTCTGGATCAGATAAATTCTGAGACAGAAATTTCTTCATAAAGATCGATTCTATATGAAGATAGAAAATCTAATCTACACAAAGATTATTTCTACATAAAGATTCTGTCTACATAAAGATTCGATGTTGATGTCTACAATTCTACATTCTTCTCTGATGTAGACCTGGAAAAAATGTAGAATTGTAGACATCTACATCGAATCTTTATGTAGACAGAATCTTTATGTAGAAATAATCTTTGTGTAGATTAGATTTTCTATCTTCATATAGAATCGATCTTTATGAAGAAAGTTTCTTAGCTAGACAAAAACTATTGAAGAATCTACATTCTTCATCTAGTGTAGACATCTACATTTGCAACACTGGTTTGATTCCTACAAGAGACCGATCATTAATCATTAAAAGAAGTTTTATCGATATTGACAAGGATTTGCAAAATGCTCATGATATTACAAAGTCGAAGAGATACTTAAAAAATCATATTTCTTTAAATTGGAGATAACCAGAATTAACACGAATTAAGTTGATGATTATTCAAGTGAAAAGTTCTCGCTTGCATCAATTGAAATAAAAATTTTAATAGGGCGATTACGATAGTAAATAGTAACATAGTTCATGATTCTTGATATGTTTTGTCAACAGGATATGAAAGATGACTAGTTTTTGTCGTTAAATTCATCAATTACTTACAATTTCTAATGAGGTATCCAATTTTTATTTTAGCAAATTTACAAACAAATTTCTGTATTAAAAAGAGTTTATCGAAAATGATTTAAAAATGACTTAAATCAAAGAAATAATTTATGACTGAAATTCAACAAATTCTTACAAAATAAAGCTTTTAAGAGTACAATACATTGTTGATTCGTATAATTCGAATTAATTCGAATACTTTTGAACCTAAAACAAATTTCATTTATACAAAATTTATCTATCGGCACTTCAACCTTCTGATAATGTCATATAAGTCGTTCAAATATCTTTCCAAAGCCAATTAATCAACAAAATTATGTCCCAAAATTACAGTAAACAAATTGACAAATGAATAGCAAAATATTTACAATTTCTATAAACAAAGACGATAGCCGAAACGTGCTGAAATTTTGATTGTTAATAAAGTTCTTCCATGTTGGTAAACATTTTACTTGTGCGTAAGTAAATATTCATTACTTAATATTTGAAATGATTTGTTCTTAAATATCATCAAATGAGAATGATTACGTTCATTCCTATGTCAACACGTCGTCAATTGTATCAGTAGCATCTCCTTTGGAGGCAAACATTTTTTTTAATAACATTTATATTTTAAAGTTTGTTTTCCTTAAATTTCACTTGCGTCATCGACGTCAATTCTATTGTTATCATCTCACAATCTTTTTATAGCTAAAACGTAACAACTTTTTTTTAAATAAATAATTTTCTGTCGTTATTTCTGCAATCAACATCTTTCATAGTAATGTCATGACCTCAAAATGAAGAAGAGGAATATAGAGGGAAAATTATAAGTTTGTTTAGTAAGTATGTCATGTTATCAGTCGAGTAATATCAATTAAATTAAAAGTGTAATCCAAAGTTTGTCATCGATTTCTTCTTGTTCCAACATAATTGATTGTTTTGTATATTTATGATAAATTTTATTGAAGAATAATTTAGATAAACGTGAAAAAATAAGGATTCAATTTGTTTTAAAGACCGTTCACTTATGACGTCTAGGGGAGGGGGTTAGTAAAAAAAACAATAAATATTCCTGGAAATCGATTGTTAATTTTTGAAAAATGCCCGTTAATACCAGACGTCATAAATGAACGATCCCTTAGGTATTTACTTTCCCATGGTACTTAATTTGATGATTTTAGTAAATATCTGTCATAAAACAATTATTTCTTTCAACCCTTGTTGTTTATAAGCTTAAACAGTTAAAAAGGACATAAAATTCAAGAAAATTGCATCAAGAAACCTTATAATGTGGCATGCTTTGAATCCTTTACAATAAACAAACTACTAACTCGTGTTTTCAGATAACCACGAGATCATTGAAGCCATTAAATGCCTGAATAATATTTGTGCAATCTATAAATAGCTAGAGTTCTATTTTGTAATTACTAAGTTTTCCCAGCACAATTCATAGATTCACACAATATTAGACCTAAAGTTAATAATTTCCCAATTAATGATAAGAAAAACTTAATAAGTTTATTTTTATTCTTTTTGAAATAAAACTTTCAATTTATAGTAAATAATTTTTCTTGAATTTTCAAACTTTTCATATCAAGTTACTAGTCTTATACAACTTTTAATAATCAATTACCAATTCCTGAAATTTTACTACTTTGTTTACATGCGCCTTCAAATTCAGCAAGATTATAGCTTCCTACAACAAATTAAATTTATTGAGAATTATTGCCTACACATGCTAATTATATAAAAAATATATTTACCCCCGAGAATTGCGTACTGTATCATGCCCACATTACGTCCTATTAAACGTGGAACCGCGTTTATAGACATCGTCATCTTTAGCATTGATAATAAGCAGAGATCGAAGCCGATTTTTTCGGCTTAACTCAATTTTTGATTTTTTTGATAGAAAAAAGCCATTTGACACCCATTTCAAGTATTTAAATTGAACTTTACATGCTTTACTATGATTCTGTGTAATATTTTGTCAGCATGTAGCTATAGTGAGCTCAGAATTTCAATTTAGCCGATTTTAAGCCGATCGGCTTAAATTTCGGCTTAACATTCTTTAACTTGAAATTCTGAGCTTACTTTAGCTACATGCTGACAAAATATTACACAGAATCATAGTAAAGCATGTAAAGTTCAATTTAAATACTTGAAATGTGTGTTAAATAGCTTTTTTCTATCAAAAAAATCAAAAATTGAGTTAAGCCGAAAAAATCGGCTTCGATCTCTGATAATAAGTAAAAATATATTCTGTACCGAGGATGTTCTGTTGTCTGTTGTTGTTTACAACTACTGTTTTAATGCTAGTATGTTCGAGTGTGTGACGTCTTTGAAAAGTCTGGTGATATTTTCTGTTTTAATTTCATAAGAAACTAGGAATTATAGGTTGGAATATTGTAGATGTTGGATATAAAAAAAATTATCCGAAGAAATGCATAAAGCGAAAGGCAAAAGAGAAAATTATCCGAGATGATCCACGAAGTTGCTAGAGAGAAAGTTCATTCAACGTAGAACCTGACATAAGAAACAAAACAGAACAGTTGAAAAACACAAACACATTTACTGATAATCAAGAACTTCTAACGAAAATAAAATAAAAATTGGAGGCTCGCCTGCGTTCGGTTGACGAAACTCGGTTTGTTGTTCAACTTCGTGTTCGATTCGCTTCTATGTTATTCCACATTCGTCGTCAAATGCTGATAACGACGATATTTTGTATATAAAAGGCGATCCATTCAACAGACTATTCATTAAAAAAACTCAACTCATAAAGCTAAAATCTTATAAGAGAATTACTCGTAACAAGTCTGAGAATTCTAGTTATAAAATGAACATAGAACTTTAACAAAAAAGTGAAAGTCACTGAAAAAGAAAAGTTAATTTGAAAAAAAAATATTAAAGAAAATTTCGTGTGAAATTTAAGAAAAAGTTTAAATCAAAATTTATTTGAAAATTACAAGAAAGAATACAAAAATCAATTAAAGATGCCTCAATTAATTGAAAAAGCCTACACACCGTAAGTGTCAATTTTTTAAGAATTATATTTAATTAGGTGGTAAATTGCTATGGATTTTAAAATTGGGGTTTAAATCTCGATTTTATTTAAAAATCTATAAAGCTTGATATTAACTTGTTCATGCCAATCTTGCATGAATATTGAGTCAGACAAATTATATTTCAAACAGCTGATTACATTTTCATGTGAAATTTATTGAATCAGATGGGCAAATAATTATTTTATAGTCAAAGTTTGTGATTTATAATACACTTGCTTAAAATCATTCAAAGTTGCTCACAAACCTCCAAAAACCTAAATGTGTTTAAAAGTATATCACCTCATACTTCATACACACAACCGTTCCGTTGACTCAAAAATTTCGTCATAAAACATACAACAACAAAAAATATACGAAACATACCCGAGAGCCGAGCTAGAAAGTAGACATGCGAACGAGAGAGAAAAGATGATGCAATTATATTCAAAATTTAATCCGCCACATTTCATCATCTTTTGCTGTTTGCACAGGAGTAATTTGGGTTAGAATTTTTAATCGTCTTTAAATAGACGGTAAGAACGGACTTGTTTTGTTTGTATCAGATTTAAAAATAACTCAGAAGTTTAATTTGTGTTGTGATAATGCCAGCAAATAGGGGCTCGTCTGTTTTGTAAATTGCTTTTTATTTAAATAATAAAAGCCTTAAAAATCAAGCCATCAAATCAAAAATAAATGAAATTCTAACAAAATCTCTTATTTTTACTATCATTATAGATTCCAAAAGCCAGTTGTTGGTCACTATTTATCATCAACAGCTACAACAACAACTCCAAGCAAATTTAATAACATTCGTGGTTATAATGTCGTTAATGGTGACATCAGCAAGCTCCCATTGAAAGTCAAAACCTTCATTGAAGAATCTGTCGTCTTGTGTCAACCAGATCGTGTCCATATCTGTGACGGAAGTGAAATTGAAAATGAAATCCTCATCAAGTCATTGTTGGAAGCAAAGACTATCATTCCATTGCCTAAATACGAAAATTGCTACTTGGCTCGCACCAATCCAGCTGATGTTGCTCGTGTTGAAAGCAAGACTTTCATCTGTACTGAACTTCGTGAGCAAGCTGTCTGTACTCCACGTGCTGGAGTTCAAGGAGCTTTGGGTAACTGGATTAGTCCAAAAGATTATGATGATGCAATCATGAAGAGATTCCCTGGATGCATGAAGGGTCGTACAATGTATGTTGTTCCATTCTCAATGGGTCCAATTGGCTCACCACTCAGCAAAGTTGGAATTGAAATCACTGATTCACAATATGTTGTTTGCTCAATGAGAATCATGACAAGAATGGGCGCACTTGTTATGGATGAAATTATCAACAAAAGTGCTGATTTCGTTCGTTGCCTTCACTCAGTTGGTACACCAGAAAGTGGAAAATTGGCTATGGAATCATGGCCATGTGATCCAGATCGTGTTATCATCCTCCACAAGCCAGACAATAATGAAATCGTCTCATACGGAAGTGCTTATGGTGGTAATGCAATTTTGGGAAAGAAATGCTTTGCATTGAGAATTGGAAGTACCATTGCACAACGTGAAGGATGGTTGGCTGAACACATGTTGATTCTCGGTGTTACTTGTCCAAATGGAACTAAAAAATATATTGCTGCTGCATTCCCATCAGCTTGTGGCAAAACGAATCTCGCTATGATGACACCAACTTTACCCGGCTATACACTCGAATGTGTTGGTGATGACATTGCATGGATGAAATTTGATGCAAATGGTCAACTTCGTGCTATTAATCCAGAAAATGGATTCTTTGGTGTTGCTCCAGGTACATCAGCTGAAACGAATCCAAATGCTATGGCAGCTTGTACCAAAAATACAATTTTCACAAATGTCGCTTACACATCAGATGGTGGAGTCTTCTGGGAAGGTCTTGAGGACACAATCGAACCAGGTGTCACAATCACCGATTGGTTAGGAAATCCATGGGAACTTGGTGTTAGCAAAACACCAGCTGCACATCCAAATTCACGTTTCTGTGCTCCAGCTGGCAACTGTCCAATCATTGATGAAAAGTGGGAAGATCCCGAGGGAGTTCCAATCTCAGCTATCCTTTTCGGAGGACGTAGACCACAAGGTGTTCCACTCATTTATGAAGCTTTGAATTGGCAACATGGTGTCTTTATTGGATCAGCAATGAGATCAGAATCTACAGCTGCTGCTGAACACAAAGCAAAGGTCATCATGCACGATCCAATGGCAATGAGACCATTCTTCGGTTACAATTTCGGTAACTACCTTAAGCATTGGCTCGAGATGGAAGAGCAATGTGATAAACTCGGTGGAGTTATGCCAAAGATCTTCCATGTTAACTGGTTCCGTAAAGATAAGAATGGCAAATTCTTATGGCCAGGATATGGAGAAAATTCAAGAGTTATCGACTGGGTTCTTAAACGTATTGATGGATATCACTGCTATCAAGAAACACCAATCGGCCTTATTCCAACACCAGAATCACTTAAACTTGACAACCTCAAATCACAGCTTAATTTGAAAGAACTCTTTTTAATAGAACGCGAGTTTTGGCTCAAAGAAGCTGACGAGATTCAAACATACTTCGACAACCAGGTCGGTGCTGATTTACCAAAGAAAATTCAACAACAATTGAACAATCTTAAAGATAGAGTTGAAAATATGCATTAAGTTAGGCTAAAGCATTGAGATTAAGATTTTTTACAAAGAAAAAAAAAATTAAAAATATGCAGGTTCATATTTAGAGTTGTAAGAGAAAAAAAAAGTCCTTTCTGATTTAGTTGATAAGATCTGCTTTAATTTGTAATTTATTTTAGATTGTAAGATAATTAAGAATAAAAAATTGACACAAAAAATTAAAAAGAAAAAATTAAAATGTTTTTTTATATTTTCAAAAACTTTAATATTTTTAGGATTTTTCAAATATCAAATTAAATTGCAATCAATGGTCATATTCCAGTCAAAACAAAATAAATCAACTGTCATTAGGATTAGAAAAATCAAAACAAATTAAAATATCAAATAAAAAAACAGAAGCCAAAGAAGTTCAATCCACACCATAATTAGATTAACAAATATCTGCTGTGGCAAAAGATTCAAAGATTCACAGCAACTTCAAGTGTTTGCTTTTTTAAAAAAAAGCTATCTAGTTTAGGAACTGATTCTTAATTAATCAATTAATTGTGTAATTCAAGAAATCATTTAATGAATATCAAAGTCCACGACATGCTTATCATTTCGTATTGAATTAATGAAAGCCTTGTCGTGATAATGAAAAATAAAAATGATCTTTAGACGATCAACTCGTTATTTATTGAACTAGTTGCAGTTCATTAAAAACAGGAAAAGGAAATTTTTTTAAATAGGATGAAAATATTTTTTTATTGATTTAGTGAAGAATTTTGTTTACCGCATAATTAATAATAAACTTCTAGCTTCTTGGCTTAGCTTTTAACGTATCTATTTAAATATCAAATATCTGATGTGCAACTGAACTATTATTGAGTGTGCAGTCAAATATTATTTCATGATTTAATCATTTCTTTATAGTTTACATTAAATGTTAAGATGCGCAATAAAATTTCTTAATTTTTTCCCGACCACAATTCAGTAGTTTTCATATTTTTTAAAAATTGTATTCAAACCTTTAAACAGGGTAGGTGATTTAAATCAAAAATCAAAATCAAAATCTTTTTGCAATGATTTTTAAAGGGGATTTTGATTTAAATTGAAGATCTAAAAGATCCAGTTGCAAGATTCTGTCCGAAAAAAGATCAACTGCATTCTTACTTATGAGGAACTGCAACTGAAAACTGTTGATTTGAAAAATAATTTAAGATATTACAAACAAAAATTTTATATGGATGGATTTTAAAATCCCAAAAAAAAATCTTTCAAACAAAAGATTCAAATCAAAATCCCCCAAAAAAATCCCTTTGCAAAAATGATTTAAATCAAAATCCCTTTTTAAAATCATTTTTCATTGAGATTTAAATCAAAATCAAAAATAAATTCTGCGATTTTGATTTAAATCGCAAAAGATCTCCCCACCCTGCCTTTAAAGCATCACAGACTGCGTTAGACAAAATATTTCATTGTTTTATTCAGAAAATACTCATGTGTAGAGTGACTTCGCTTTTGTCGTATCCTTTTCTCTTTACTTAATTTCAACAATTATAAAAGTAGTTTTGTTCTGTTAAATGCTCACGATGATTGAAATGTGTTCATTTATTATTCTATAAATATTGCAATTTAGATTGATGCTTATGTACAATTATGTAATTGATTTTTTTTTCCACGACAAGGGTATTTTCAGGAAGACTAGCTGTTTTCACATTTTCAAATTCTAATAATATAATGACTAAAATATGTCATAAAGTTTTCAAAAATAATTAAAAGATATTTTAAAGTATTAACTTTAAAATCAACTAAATAAAAACCCAAATTCTTAAGAATGAATCTACACAATCAAGATATATTCCAACAATTTACTATCCACGAATGCAAGGTTCTAAGAACGAGATAATCGACTATCATCAAAGCTGAATTTTCATAATTTAATATGTTTAAAACACTCCAACACGTTTATAATTGTTCAACTTAATCCAGTAAAATGACGAATATAAAAGAACTTAGTTCATTTTTAAAGCCTCTTGAAATTTTCGGTCTTCAATATTTTTCGCTATCTTCATTAAACATAAATTTAAAGCCAAAATATGCTTCTAGAAATTTTACAATATATTTTTTGTTTCGCATAATTACTTTTATGTTGACTGATTGGCTCTCCTGGCGCTTTAATTATTCTAGTTTCCAGAATAAATCATTTAATGAAAATATTCTTGGATATATTTTTAAATTTATTGTGATTATTTTATCAGTTATAAAATATTTATTAGCATTTTCTGAATCTTTTTTCAAGACTAAAAGTAATCAGAGATTTTTTGTAATTTTTAATAAACTTAGTTTTTCTTTGAAATTTGATTTTGGCAATGAATTTAATTTCCAACAATTTAAAAAAGTTTTAATGCGACGATTAATTTTAATATTTACAACGTTACCAATATTTGTAGTAGTATTTAGTGCAAAAAGAACCATTTGGCAAATAATAACATTATTTTCAAAAGTCATGATAGATTTTGCAACCAATTACTTAATTATTTACAAAATTTGCTACTTCATTGATATAATATTAATAAGTTTACAAAGCTTTTTAGAAATTTTGGATGACTTTACAGTCTTTAGTGTCAATAACAAAATTCTACCAAGAAACATTTATCAAATGAAGAGAATTTATATTTACATTATTGAAATGACTGATGAATTAAATAATTTCATGTCTCTGACAATTTCATCATTCGTTGTGAATAACTTGATGTGGATTCTAATGGACTTGTATGAGCTTTTTCGAAATTATATGCTTAGAACCGAAGCTTATAGGTTAATTTGTGAGTATATTTTCGAATTATAATTGTCATAGTTTTAATATTTAACTTAAACCTAGTTGCAACTATACCTTTGACTATTGGATCTTTGTTTGTCATTTTCCTAGCAATTTGCTGCCAAAATATTGAAATCATGGTAAACTAGAATAATTATTCAAAATTATTATATTTTAAAAGCACTTATTTTAAATTTTAGATGACAAAAATCATAACAAAGCTCAATGAGATAGATGATAAAATTCTCAATTGCAAAGAATGTCAAGACGCAGCAAAGTCTCTTTACAATCAAATTATTTTTCAACCTATAAACATAATTGGTCCGGGGAATAAGAAAATTACCAAAATTTACATCATTAACGTAAATATTTTGAAGACAATTTTTAAAAATAAAAGAATTCTAATATAGCTTATTTTATTTTAGGTCATGAAGTCACTTCTTTCATACATAACACTTTTAATTCAATTTCAGAAAAAGTTCAAACCTAAATTTAAAAAAAAAAACAATTTTCAAGTTAATTCGCAACAAAAAAGTTGAAAATGTTTATAAAGATTCAAAATGTTCAATCATTAAATTAATATCACTTACAATTAAATGTAACAGTTTATTAAGAAACTTAAAAAAATGAATCACAGATATTTTCATTTATTTATTTATAATTGCCTTTTTAACACAATAGAAAAAAGATAAAATCAACAAAATAATGAAAAGTTTCACGAAATATCTTGCAATATCACATATGTTCATAAAAACTAAATTGAAAGAGTTGTGATTTCATTTCAAAACATTATAAAAGGTGACTCATGATCTTGGGTAGATTTTGATTAGATTCAGATCAATTATTATTAAAATTTTAAAACTTGTAAGCTTAAAATTTTGAAAACTAGTGAAAAAAGTCAACAATTTTGAATTGTGAAAATATAAAGCATAAAAAAATTAAAGTAACATTTTTATGAAAATGTGAAAAATTAAATTTTATCAAAAATCTGGCAAAACCCTCACAATGGTTAGCAAAAAATTATTACATTTCATTATTATTGAAATCACAAATACGAAAAATAAAAGCTTTAAAATTGTGCAATGAAGGAAAAATAAATCTCAATTTCATGTTTGTAATGTGAATTAAGAAAGAAGCAGAGAAATGCAAAAAGATACAAAGAAAATTTAAGAAAAAAAAGCAGAGAATAAAAATAAAATTTGAAACATAATATTGTCATGATATGATATATTCAGTTATGTTGCACAAAGAGTTCTTTTGCATGCAATCAATTTACTGTATTTTACAAAAAATTGTAAACATTGGACATACGGGATTGGGAACTTGTTAATTAGGAGAGAATTTTATGTGATCGTTAAGTCTTTTATTATTTAGAGCTCATGCAGAAATGCTGTTATGAAAGTCAATATGGTTGATGATTTATGGGTTAAACGATAGAGGCTATTAAGCCTGATGATCTTAATAACATTGCTATTTGTTGAAATAAAATGACACTCCTAAAATTTTGTAAGGCAATTTTAAATAGATTTGTCTTTTAAAGTTTTTAATCAATTTTTCTTGGTCATCAGATTTTCAATCAGAGACACTTGAACTAAAACATAAACCTTATAGCTCTGTCAAAAGCTTTATTTAAGTAAACAAAGTAATCAAGTAAAGCATCAAGTAAGCATGTGCAACCCTATATTTTCTTTCCTTTATCCTAAATATCCAGTCTGGACCCAGCAAAAGTTGTTAACCCTTTCATGATTAATTCGAGACATTTCCTTATTAATCGAACGAAAGAAAATAAAGTACAAAAACTGTAAAAAGATACAAACAGTTTCAAATTTTAAAATCCAAAAATACTGCAAACAGGAGAGCAAAGACAGAGAAAAGTTTAATGAGATTTTCAAGTTGTTTTACCGTTGAACTTGATCAGCATCAATTAATTATCAAAAAACAACACAAAACAAACACAAAAGAGAAGCTTGAAGCAAAGTTGTTGACAATAAATAAAGTATTGAAGGTTAATTAACCACAAAATTGCAATTTAAAACCAATAAATTGAATTATGACGTTGAGAATTATTTCCAACAAGCTTCAACCTTCTACCTTCAAGTTTACTCATTTTCCAGTGCTTTTTTTCCTATAATTTTTTTTCTCGTGAGCGAGTCAAGCGCGGTTAATTTAACAAAATTAAAAATAAAATTCTCACTCTCTCTCTCCGTCTCACTACTGCCAATAAATCCATCCACATTTATTGTCGCTGTGCCATGCAACTCTTTCTTCAGTTGCAAAACTTTACAATTTCTTTACATCACCAGAGAGTGAGAGAGAAAACGAAGAAAAAAGTTAAAGTCAATGCGATTGTAAAAAGTAGTCTGTTGCGGTTACTCGAAACGTCAAGTCGTGGTGCCATCAGGTGAAACGTGAATTGAAAAAAATATATATATTCAATTAAAATATTGATCATAAAAATAAATTGTGGATAGTTTTTTAAATCGTGAAAAAAATTTTTTTTAAACTTTATATGTCTTTTCGGTCTGGTAACATGAATGCTTAGAAGCATAGTTTAATAAGTGTGTCAGGAAATTATTTGGCGACAGAAAAAGTGCAATAACTGATAAGACTGGTGTGGAAATTTACCGGACTGCGACAATAAAATAAATAAATGAGTTTAGTTGAATTTTTGTAATCGAAAAGGAAAGACTTTTAATGAAGTGAGAAGTTAGTGGTAATTATTGCGGTTTAAAATAATTAAATTTGCTTAATTTCTTCGAGAAAATAAAGAAACTATTATGAAGAAGTTGTTAGACATGTACAATTATTGTTGATAATATTCTAAAAATAACTGTTTTAAAAAATTCTTCGCTTGTCCTCAAAAATTTCTAAGTTCTTAATATTAAAGATTAAATATATTCACACAAATTGAAAATTTTGTGTGAATTTGAAAAGTTAAATTAAACTTCAATATTTTATTAAACTTAAAATGAACTTGTTCATAAACATCATCTTGAACATAGACGCACGTGAATAACATCATGACTCAAACCACATAATTTGATATTCAATAAGTATAGAGTAGTTAATTTTTAATTATTCAAAACATAAAATTTTAAATCTAAAATTTTATCAATAATTAAAATTAAGTTTTTTGAAAAATTGAATTCTTTTATAAAGTACTTACATAAGGCTAATTCGTGAATTTTGTCACCTACTCCAATTCATTAAAAAAGCAAAAATGTTAATTTACATTTTTAAATTCCATTTGTTGTAACATTTAACAGCACGTGAACGTGATAATATGAGCATTTAAATCTATAGCAACAAAAAACCATTGACCCTCAATTTAGTTTGTTTTACAATTCATTCACAATTATTTAAGCTTTTGATTCACAAATTTTATTAATTAAAATTCAAGTTTTTATAAAATTAAGATCTTAATTTATCATTGAAATCTTTTGTTCTACAAAAGCTTTAATTAGAACTTTTCAAGAGGATAGTTGCATGATAGATTTGATTTCATTTTTAATATCGATAACAACCACAGAATACAACTTATACAGCAACCTTATTGACAAGGCATCAGAATATTCACATTGTAGATCAATTTTTTATTCAAAGTCTATTCAAAAGAATATTTGAAGTTTTATAAAATCAATTAACTTGTGCAAAAAGTTTAAAAAATCTTTATAAACTTCCACAAAACGCTTTATTAGCAATAAATTGAATGAAGTGTAAGTCAAACTTATAAACAAATATAAAAATTTTATGGCTGCGTTATATCAAAATTATATAATAGTGATTTATTTCAATGAAAAGCACAAAAAACAGCAATCAATAGTTGAAAAAGTTTATCAACTTACTTTCATCAACGTGAAGCATTTGATCGGTTCGTAGATTGTAAACATTTGATTTTGTAAGATTTATGCTGTACACCAGACGTTAAAAACTGAACTTTTAATAAATCTTTATTGATTTTCTATAAAATAGTTGCCAGAGCTTCTTAATTAAAGCTTTTTGGCAATCAAAGAATTTTGCTTGACAGAACTGAAAATTATTCAGGTGTAAGGGAGGTCGTTTAGAGTTTTTAAGAGGAGCTCGGGCTAAATACCCGCTTGGAACCCTTCAAAATGATTAGAATCTACTGATGCTGTAGAAATTCTTTAGATTTTTAATTTAAAATTAAGATTTTTATTTTTTCAAAACCAAGACCAAAACCAAACCAAAACCAAATCCTTATTTGCTTATACTTTCTCCTTATAATATATATCAAATAAATCCACTTACCCTCACTTTATTCCTACTGTGCACGTGAAAATCAACAAATAAAACAAAACTTCTTAATGATTCAAATTAATGCATAACAAAACAATTAATTAAGAAAGAAATAAAAATTAATTAAAATTAAAAGCAAAGCATGAACAAAATGAAAAATTTGAGCATTAAACTTAATTTGTGAAATTGTGGAAAGAAATTCAAGCACAATTTGATTAATCTGAACAATTAATAATTTTGTTTTAAACACGAAATGAAACAAACATTTGAAAATTTTGCAATGTTTGTTGAGAGCTGAAATAAGAATAAGAAAAATTGATGGTGATTTAATCGAGTTTGCTGAAACATTTAAAATTGAGATCAGATTTTAAAAGCTACAAAAAGACAGTTGATAAACTTTCATTGCTGGTTTAATTAACCTTCACTAATTTGATCCTTAAAAGGTAAAGCATGGAGAGGATCAAGCCTTTTGAGCTGAAGGCACTGCGATTTTAACATGCTTTAATGAAATCATCCAGATTCTAGTTTACCCAGCAAAGGAGACATGTTATGTGCCGAAAACCTCAAAACTACAATTTGATCCTAAGCAACTTCTGAATTTACCCTGAATTTTCTAATGCAATTTTAAATACAAAAGGACATTAATCGCACCAAAAAATTATGCAACAAGTTAAAAAGTTTTGCATGTCTTTAACAAGCATTGCATAATTTCACAGTTTGGCGCCAAGTGTTGATAATTTTTCACCTCGTTCACGCCCTTTCGACCCCTTTAACATCTTCCTCATCTATTGTATGCATCATAATCATAATAACAACATCCATTAATGCTATTATAATGTCAGCAATTAATTTATATATTTTGTTTAATAGAAAGTCTTTAATGAATGTTTTTATGGGCTTTAAATATTGTAATTGGTAATAATTCATTGATGATTATCATCAATGTTGTTATATAATGTGATTAACACAATGTAATGATGAAGGTGATAACCTCATAGTTTGTCTTGTTAGATACTTATGTGAATATACTTCCGAACGTTTGTGGTTGATGCTTTTGATATTCGTTTAAAATGCCGACTACTAATGATTTATAGAGATTTTTAAGGGGATTTTCCAGTCACTTGCATTTTCATAACTTTTATTATAGAAAAAACTTGAACAGAACAATAGAAATCTATCAAAAATAATCTTCACTTACCTGAGCAATATTTAACAGATTCTATAAGTTCCATCAAAAATTAAATTTTTCCAGGCAACATTCCAGACTGATTTTAATATTCATGCTGTGGTACTCTAGCTATAAACACGAAAGAACTGAATGCTAGGTTGCACATCTTCTCATTTCAATATTCTTACAATGTCTCTGACAAACAATTTAAAAAATTCAACAAAATTAAAAATCCATGAATATTGTCTCTTAAAAATAAAAAATAAAAGAGCAAAACTTAAGTTTATTTTCAATTTTAATTAATGAAGCAAAAACATTGAACTTTTCATGCATCCCAAGATTTTCACCTTCTCACGTGTTTTATTTAACTTCATCGGCAGTTAAATGCTTTAAATAGTTTCACATAAAACCATGCATTTATTGATTTTTGGAATTTACAAGTTGAATTGTCACAAAACCTTGATTATTTCTTAATAAAAGTAAGCGAAAATAATAATCCTATTATCAGCTCATAAAAATTGGTCATTATTGTTAAGTCCAAGATTTTACGGCTTTAAAGCATGTTACTAGTGAGGAAATGACAAATTACTATACAGGCAATTTATGATGTAGTCGCGTGAATTTTAATATTTTAAGATCTTTGGTAACATTTGAAATATTTCGGAATTATACAACAAATTAAAAAGTAGTTGACATACATTTTGCATGCAGGTTTAAAAGCTTAGCAATTTTAATGCTTAGCTAATTGATATTAGATTTAAATCGTTATCCTGTGAAATTTCAGTTTAATTTGTTTGGTTGCAAAAATATTATTTTTCATTAAATTACTTTTCTTAATGTTTTTGAGCTTTTTTTATTTTGAGTTCTAGCATTGAACTACCAAAGGGTCAATTTTCGAGGAAGTCTAGATCCCCCTTTAAAAAATGCTAATAATAAAGCACAATAAGCCCAAATTGAAAACGAAAACTCAGCAATACAAAAACAAAACCAAACTTTTCATAAAAAATCAAAATAAAATTGCGCCCAATATTTTGTTTCTGTCAAGCATGCACAAATTCTCTCAGTGCATTAAAAACATCATTTTACAATTTAATCGATTTATTTTTATTGCATTTTTCTTTCTCTTTCTCAATTCAATTGAGTTGGAATTGAGTCGAATTGTTAATTGCATCGAAGGAAGACAGCAGAGAGCAACGAGCAATAATAATTTTATTTAATGTGCATTAAAGAGTAAAAATGTATCCAGAAATCGAAAATACAACAATAATAAAATAATAAGCAATAAGAGAGAGAGACGGTGAAAGTAATTTGAAAAATCACACAGTGCTTCAAGCGCCTTTCCAAGTATGTGTATACATGAATAAAATATGTATTACATCATCATCATCATCAGCTTCTCCAGCTTGTGACCCTAAAAAATTTTATATCCAACTCGAAGATTTATTTATGTTTATTAAAAAGAATTATTTTTGAATTATATGCGTCTTTGCAGATTTCTAAATAAACACATGAAAGGTGTTGTTGCGTTGTCATAATCGTCTTAAGGCAGCACGATTTGCATGTACCTATATTTCAACTTCTTTTCTTTTGTTTCTGTGTTACTTAATCAGTCGTTTGGGAGATTTATTTGCTGCGTACGTTTTATGCATATGTAAATATCATATCGCTTTAAACGCTGCACTGTAGGATGGCTATTTTTAAAACTATCTTGATATGCACATGCACTATGACGAACGAGAAGTAAACAACAAATCTATTTTAATTTATTATTTTTTTTTTCATACTTGATGTGGTGGATTTTTGTACTTTTCATGGTCGAAATTTGTTATCATTCATATGCTATCTTGAGGTTCTACAAAAAAAAACTTATATCTATTCAGATCATATGTGATCCAAAGGTGCGCTAAACCGTTTTGCAGCTAATGAGAGTTTAACGAGTGAAGATGTGCAAAACCACTGCACTTAAACTTAAACCTACAATTTATAGTGGGTTCCGAACAGGGTTCCGAACCATTCCTTTGATGACATTTCTGTCTGTAGCCTACAAAGGAAGGCTGTGAGTCTAATTTCCAGTACATATGATTCGAAAAAGGACAAGTGAAAATTTTCCTTCTCCCAGTCTCGAACACATGATTGATTCACAGTGCTCAGTGCTCAGTGCTTCATAGAAGGAGTTTAAAAATTATGTCACAAATGGTGTTTGAATGAACCTCACAATTTGTGGTTTTATGAAAGTATAATAACACAACTTAGTGAGCTGAAGTGGCTCGGTGGCGGAATGGTTTTGTCCTTCGGTATCTAATTACTGCAATACCGAGACAACGATTATGGGCTCGAGACTCGGCATGGGAAAATTTTCACTTGCCCTTTTTCGAATCATAAAGTACTGAAAATGAGGCTCACAGCCTTTCTTTGTAGGCTACAGGCAGAAATGTCATCAGAGGAGTGGTTCAGATCTCACTATAAACTGTAGGTCTAGGTTTGAGCGGGAGGTTTGGCGAACCCTCTCTCGTCAAACTCTCATTAGCTCCGAAACTCTATAGTGCACCTGTGGGTCACATTTGATTTGAATAAACAAACATTTTTTTTTTAAATTCAGCTTAACCAAAAAAAGGTCTAGACTGACCTTATTAATCATTGTTCTACATAAAATGTATCCTTCAATAAAAACATGCAAAAATATGCCACCTTTTTCGATCGTGACCCCACATTTTAGTACAACTTTAAGGAAAAGAAGTAAAGCAATACAGCAGTAGCAACAGAAATGAAAATAAAGGAAAAAAGCGGCGAGTCTATGTGCACTGTCTGAAGTATCTTACGTAAAAAATATTAAAAAGAAAAAAAAAATTGTATAACGAGTTTTTTTGTGTCTGTACTTAGCTCGGCTGGCTGTTCACATACATTTCATGAAGTTTGTTTTGCATACTCAGCTCGACAATTTTTTTTTTGTTTTTTGTTTCCATTTCTTTTTCAACTGCTTCTCATAATTTTGTTATTTTTGCTTATTTTTCTGTTCATTTCTCTCACTCAATTGTTCTCTTTCATGTGCCATTTATGCTTACCTTAACTGCTTACTGCAAAAAACTTAAATATCAACAATAAAAGCAAGAATAAGAAATTAAAAAAAAAGTCTGCAATAATTTTTGAGACCTTATATGCAATTCAATTCAGGCATTAAGGTATAAGAAATGAAAGAATTTCAATCGATTTTTCGTTTTTTTATTGAGCACGGCATTAATGATGAATGGAGTGCCGATGAATTTGTTCACTTTGGGTTTTGAGGATTAAAATAAGCGGTTTAGCTTTCGTGGTTGGAAAAGTCGTTTATTTTATTTCTGATTCACAATTCTGATAACTGACCTTGGATACTTTTTATTTGTTCTCCTAGGTTTTCTATCGGAAAGTTTGTTAAAGCTTTTAAAAAACTCAATTGATGTTCAAAATAGTTCTAATGTGATTCTAATGAGAATTTCCCCTTGAATAAAATCAATGTTAAAAATCCATTTATTCAATTCTTATAAGAATTTCCTCTCAAATGCGCTGTCCAGCATCCTAAATTTTAATCTCGCTATATATAACTCAATCAGCTTTATTATTTTCCACAAAAAAAAATTTGTAATGCTCATAAAGAAAACAAGTTTGCAATCAAAAAAGAGAAAAAAGAAATATTAAATCTGCCTTCGTTTTTGCTTGTTTCAATGAAGAATCTTTAACTCTTTCATGTGCATTGTTCGAAAGTCTCTCTTTTTTATTGCCATTTTAATATCCAAACAAACGCGTCCATCGACAGCAAAAAAAGTTTATTTTAGCTTATTTTTGTAAAATTTAATATCTTGATTAAAATGAGCTTTGCAATCACAATAAAAAAGGCATAATAGAAGCAACAGAAAACGATCTAATTCATCAAAAGCCATTCGAATGCCTTAAAAACTGCAAATAAATCATTTTTGACACACTAATAACCTCAGAGACTTTAACGCCATTTATAATTCTTGTGAAAGTGAAAACAAACTCTCAATTTTATTTTTATTACTTTTTTTGCAATTCTTAAGTTGTCTCTCGAGTATCGCTCTCGAGTCTTGGCTTGTGCTATTTATAGTTTTCGTGGATTATTAATGGAGAATGAAACTTGAATGACAATAATAATTGTGAATATTGCAAATTTATGGATTGCAGTACCGTGGGATGTTGAGTTGCTTTATGGACGATTTTTTAATGACTAGTTTTATGGTTTTTAGATTGAGTTGTTAGGTGATCATTAGCTAAAAGGATTTAATGTGATTTCTAAAATGAATTTTGTATTAAAAGTTATTAGTGACGCAACTGATTGTTATTAAAGATTGAATTTTTTTAAAAAGTTTTATAATTTTTTTGATGAACGAATTAAGCATTATCAAGTTGATTTAATTCCTTCAGCTTGCTCTTAAATATCAATTACTATCGGGATGGCAATTTTAACTGTACCTAAAATATGCTTTTCGCATCTTCTAAGCTATTGATATTTAAAAATCCAGCAGTATCCTTAAAAAACTTATTATTTCATCACATCAGAACATAGTCCACAAATCATGTCAACAACCCAACCAAGTCCAATAAGTGTACAATCATAAATATTATATAAAAAAAAGAAATAATAATGCTTAGCGCATGTCAAAAGAGTTGATAGATGTTAACAAAACTGACGTTGCAATAAATTAATAATAAAAAATAATAGCAACAATAATTTTCAATATAATGTGAAATCAGACACAAGTGACAAGAAGCGAAAAATAAAAAAATATTGAAAAGAATTTAATTTCTCGAAAAAGTGAAGGAATTAAAAATAAAAGACTTGAAAATGACAAATTTCAGCAACAAAATAAAAATTGCAATACTTGGGAGACATCAAGTTGGTAAATCAGGTGAGTGGCATGACTTTTAATTGGATATGTCTACATTTCTCATCTTCAATCTCTTCATATGATCCAATGACAATTATGATCGTTTAATGCTGTCGGAATTGATGTAGGATTAACTTTTTAAACCAAAATTCAATTAATGTTAGTGCTTGACATACGTAGTGATGGATGCAAATTAAAAAGACTGTCAAGTAATATTCAAGTGACTTCCGCTTAAGTATTAAACCATTATTGTGCTATATGTCCACAGGTATTGTGTTTCCTGATTTCTTTTAACTTTGCTGGTAAATTGTAATTTATATAGTGTACTAATGCTGTTATCGAGCTTACAAGTAGCTGTCATGTGTCGATTAGGGCTTGGGGGAATTTAGTAAAAGGAAATTTTTGCTGTTCAGGAAATGGCTTGACTCATATAAATAGAAAAACATGTGCAGATGTTGACAGTCTAAAATAATTGAATTCGCAATAAATATTCAAGTTTTAAGAGTCAAACTTTTTCTAAATATCCACCACAAATCCCATCATTTCCAAAAAATATTTATTGCCTCAGAATTTAGAAGTTACATAATTTAAATAATTTCTTGTTTCCCTAAACAATTTCAATTTACGTATGCAGTCAATATTCATTGTTACTTGTTATGCTAACAATTCCAATTTTAGCAGCAACAGCATAAAAAAATGTTATTAATTCCAAATAAGCAATAATGCACGAGCAAAGTTTGAAGTGTAAACATGAAAAAGGCGATAAATGCAGAGGAAGTCGCAACTTTAATTGAATAATATCAAAATTGTTGCTTAATTTTCTAATGAGTTGAATTACTTAATGCAGAATGTGCACGAATGTTTTAGATTTTTCAAAGTTTTCGTACATAGTGCAACTTAATTTGCACTTACTGCAGATTATCTTAAAATATTGACTAGTTTTTTTTATCTTTAATCATGAATTTATCACATCAATTTCAATCCATAAACACATCATACAAGACACACAAATATCTCAAAGCAATGCAACAAAAGATTAAATAATCATAAACAAGTTCATGTCTTATTATGTCAAAAAAAAAAATGAAACCAGCAATATCCAACAAGTTTGGCAACTCAAATGAAATTTAAATATATGTGTTACTAACAGCAATAGCATCATTGGCCATTGGTTCATTGACCGAATTTGTTTTCTTTCCTCTTTCTTCACATGATTAATTGCTGATTCATTGAGACTCTTACATAAAAAAAACTTTATTTTGGCTGTAAATGAGGTGATTTTTATGTCTAGCCTTATGAATGGTGCTGTTGTGGTTTTTGTTTTGAAGATTATAATCAAAGTATTAAGGTTGTTATATTAGAGTTGAATTATTACTTAATTGTATTTTAGGAGGTTTGAAATAAAAAGACATGAAATTTTACCAGGATTAAATCTCTAATGAAATCGAAAGTTTAAGTTCTTCTTAATCCTGAACATTTTGTATTCTTCATATAAAAGTTTAATTGTTGGTTGATCTTAGTTCATTAGTTTAAATCCATAGTTTGATGTTATTAAGTTGTTATGTTAGATGTTGCTTAAAAAACTGAATAAAACTTGACAGCCAGCACGACACGATCAATTAATGTCTAAGAATTTGCTTTCTGCATAAAAATGTTATCATTTTCCGGTTTATTAAACAATTTTTCTTTCTTTCTCACTTAATGCTTAATGGAATTTAAATCATCCGTCCATAGCCATAACCGTTCGTTATCTGACGAAAAGGTTTATTGGAGAATATAGTTCAGCACACGGTAAGAAGAAAAAAGAAAATGTTTAAAAATTCATCAATTCAACACCTTTGAATTCTCTCTCGTCTGTGTCGTTTCTCGCAGATTTCCTGTACAAGCATAGTGTAAATTTCGAAGAAAATCATGTTCCTGTCGAGATTGAAATTTTGGACACATGCAGCGTAATATATTTTTTTATTATTATTATTTTTTTATTAAATTGATTTCTTGCAAAACTTTCTCTTTCGACATGTCAAAATCTTTGCAATCTGTACTGCATTTTATTTATCTCTCTGTCTTTTTTTTCTCTTTTCTACAGAACGGCTGCTCATACGATGACGTTATCCGATGGGCAGATTCATTCCTTGTCATTTACTCGATTGTTGATCGAGACTCATTCCATGAAGCTGAGAAGTTGTTAAAGAAAATATCAAAGCTTAAACTTCCGTCTTATTATACCGCACTTATGTTGGGTAATAAAAATGATTTGGAGCATTCAAGGTTGGTGAGATTATGGGGAATTTTTTTTATCCTACAGAGTCGCATGTTTAGAGGAGAAATTTCTATAGCTTTTAATTTTTATGTGGATAGTGACAGGAAATTAAAATTGATAAATTTAAAATTGGCATGAAAGCAGAACTTGTTATTTAAAAATATTTGGTCGATAAAGGAATCATTGTCGAATCGGAATCTTTATAAATTAGTTCAGTGAATGATTCTATCTTGAAGCTGTTGAAAAAACATTCCTTCTCTTAAGTGCCATTCATTTAACAAATTTAAATTAATTAAAAGGTAAAAAGTTGCGCAGTCAATTTCCATAAACACTTTCATTGGAAGCCAAAAACGACTGTCAATGACTCGTGTTAACTGACAATTTTAAATTACCTCATATGGTGCAATCAACTTCCACATAATGTAATTAACATGCACATGCAATTTTTCTCTCTTTCTTACTCTTATTTATTTTGCATATATAGAACCGTCTCAGTATCAGAAGCCCAAGAGGTCTCATTAAATTATAATTGTCAATTTCTTGAGGTGTCAGCAGCGGAATCATATTCAGGCGTTCAATTGGCATTCCATTCATTATTAAAAGAAACTCGATCGTCACAATTGCATCGAAATTTGCCAATACGGAGAAAACTTGGGGTCAATAGCGTCTCAAAAGTATGAATTTGGATGTGACAAAAACAGAAGTAAAGTTTTAATTTATTGTTTCGTTTTCTTCTTCTTTTCAGGCATTGGGAAATATTTTTGGGAAAAATAGCAAAGCAGATCGAAAGAGACCATCGCTCAGCATATGAATATGGTCAATAGCTGCAAAAATTGGCGGAAAATAAATAATCGGTGTACATACAATGAAAAATAGTTTCTAGTCTCTTTTTTTGAGTTAAAATCCGTTGCGTAAATTCAATAAATCACTCATTTCTCTGTAAATTATCCAATTCAGCCTTTTATTGTTGGTGACCTTTTGTTGTTTTTGTTACAAAAATATTTTTCTCTTTCATTCTTCTGTTGGCGCAAGAAGGGAATGAAAGGTCGCAAATATGTAAGTTAATAATGAAACTGAGCGCATATGGCATATATGAAATTTAAAATTGGTTGAATATTTTCATGGTTCTTCTGAATGCTGGAAGGTTCGCAGCACTACTGCACTCAAACGTAGGCCTACAGTTGATAGGAAGATAAGATCTAATTCTTTAAATGCAATACTATTTGCAACCTAGACTCTGAGCATATCAATTGCATCCCAGACAAACTGCAAAATACATCCAACCTCTCTTCAGCAACTCATTGCATCACAAAAGCTTTAAAGAAGAAAAAATTAAATTTTATTGTGAAAAATTGTTCCAATTTTAAATGTGACAATAAATCGTCGTTGATAGTCATCGACCCTTCTCTATGGTCTATTTACGTCTCACTTCTTATTTCCCCTTTTTTTGTGACATTGGTCAGAACAGAGAAAATCTTTTTTATTGTCTCAACTGTGACCCTTAACTAATGAAATTCTCACTCTGAACCAATAATATTTTTAATGAATTTTAAAAACATTTTTTTTTTTGGCAAAATGTGAGAGATCAACGGGATATAAAAATATATTTTTTTTGTGTAATAATAGATTTGACCCCTATTGAAACTAAGAATTTTCTCACTTCCTTGAATATTTTTATTGTTTCCTTTCATCATGGTCTGCCTCGATGTGATTCCATTTTACTGGACATTTAATTTGTCACAAGGATTCTTTTTTTTCTCACTTAAATAAATTAATATAACTCACATATCGAATTCAGATCAAATGGTCATAATAATGTGCAAGAGTAACAATAATCGCAATCAATTTACACAAAATGTGATTTTTTCCAGCTTTAATTTTTTTTTTTTTTGAAGTAAAAAGTATTTTTAACAGATTTTCAGGACATGCATTAGTATTGACAGCAGATGCTGATTTGACTCCTTTTCGCTCCAATAGACGAATTTATGAACGAAAGCTATTTTTAGCTAACGGTTTAGAATTTCTTACATTTTATGCTTGACATCTCTTTAAGTAAGTAAGGACAAGATTCTATAAACATTAGCAACAACTCTGTTGTTTTTCCCAAATTCTTCATTACCTCTTTACTTCAAATTTACCTAAGACTTTATCTCAAAATAAAAGAAAATAACAGAACTAAGCACGTAAAAATGTGTCATAAAAATGGCAAAAAACTTAAATTGCAGGCATTTTTTGTGAGTACCGACAGATAAAAAGAAAGTGACTTCTTAGAATTGCAGTAATTTACTTCATAATTTCATCATAATATTTATTACTTAAGTATCTTTGTCTACAGCAGCCTGAAAGGATAATTAGGAGCATTTTTTACCCTTTTTTCAGTTATTGGGGGTCATAAAATATTTTTTGTTACTGTACATTTAACGGTTTGTTGGTATTTCTTTGTTTTTCAGATGAAAAGGTAGAGAAAGTGTTGGTTTTTGTTTGAGTTTTGACAAGGATTTTTCTTTCGGAGATTAGAGGAATTCCGTGCTGTTTTGTTAACGGTAACAATTTTATGAGCCAAACAGTTAAAAGTAATTCTTTGTTATTTTAAGGTTCATTTTGCTATGAATTTTTTTAAAACATTATTTTTCTCTTAAACCAAAAAAAAAAATATTAATCATTAAAAAAATCAAAAATCAAGTGCTAATCAATTTGCAAAGCAACGATCTCATTTGTCACATCCCTCCATTTTTTACCACTTAATTTTTATTAAAAAAAGAAGGAATATCCTACTCTCAATAATAAAAGTACCTTCCCTCCAATCATATCAATTACCCTCGAATAAAAAACATGAGCAGTGATGTAATTTAATACAATCGCTGTTTAACCCCACTTGACTCTAATAATAGGCTGTCTAAATTGTATAATAATCACATAATGTGTGAAGAAAAAATATAAAAACATAAAAAACGAGCAGTGCGGTGAATAAAAAAAATCAACCCTCGATTATTTTTTTAGATGCAACAATTTTGCCTTCACTTCCTCTCATCTATTCATTTAATCTCTTTAAATGCATTTTTTAAACACACAGATATTGAAATGTAATACAGGTATAAAAAATATCTGGATAGACTAGAAATGTCAAATGACAGGTGAGATTTTTTATTTTTTCAGAAAATAAAATCATCTGTTTTTTGCAGTTTTTATGGTTTGATTTTTTGGTCGATTCTTCTTTTTTTAGGGGACTTACCTGACTACCTTCTGAAATTTTCTTTGCATGTAAAAAATACGCCTGCGTGTCCAATGTATCAGATGAGACATTTGATGCTGCAATGTGATCAATATGATGACAATAATTGTTGATTTGTAATGAATATATTGAAAAGGATTACTTGGAAAAAAGAAAGTGGAATGAGAATGGGAGATTTTACAGGACATTTGGATAGATTATTTTTGATGATCTCATCCGGTTTGCTTTATTTTCATTTTGAGAATGTGGAAGGAATTGTTTTGTAGATATTTGATCCACCAGAAAACGATTACTCGTGAATCTTTCATAAGATGAACTTTGAATCTATTCTCCCTTAAATGACATTGAAAACCAATAACTATATAGTTGCATACCAATCTCTCATTGCTCCAGTGCATATTATACAATTATTTTATAATTTAAATTTTGAACATTTTTTAAGAAAACGAGAAAAGCTGGAAAAACAAAAAAAAATTTAAAAATACATTTAAAAATTAAACAACCTAGTCAAAAATTCCAATGACGTCAAGTTATTCAAAAAATAAAAAAATGATTTTTTAATAACTTTTTAACGAAATTTCTTCTTTCTTTTCAACATCGTAAATCAGAACTTCATTTTTAAAAAAATGTGAAGAAAATTCAATTAACATTCCAGTCATCGTGCCGAAGACGGAATTAAAACATTCATTAATATACTATGAGTCTAATTTGTGTCACTCAAATGCTCCTTAATGACACTCAAGAAAATAAAAAGATAGTTTGTAATCCATTTAAGTCATCTAATATTCTTCATATAAAAAGTGGCGTATAAATTTTTTAAGGATAAAATTTTGAAAATTTTATTGTATTAATCGCACAGTCATTCAATCTTCTTATGGTTACTTATGGTTACCATTATTCTCAATTCGTATCAGCTTGATGCCAAAAAAAAGAAACAGAATTGCCATTGATCAATGAACAGACACAACAGATTGCACATTTTTTCCGATCTATTAAAAATTAATAAATAATCATCATGTATGGGAGTCAAAGGGAGTCGGAGTAAATGGAATGTCTATGTATTGTGTAGAATAAAAAGATACAGCGGACAAAGATGCTAAAAAAATAACAAATAGACATTGAAGGACATAAATATTTTTTCAAAAAAAAAATAGAAGAATCATCATCATTCATATTTGCAGTGTGTGCCTTATTTTATAGAGCTATTTAGATAGAATTAAGGGAATCTTATATGGTATGACTGTTTGTCCGATTCTTTAATTCATTGAGTTTATTTTGTAGTAAAAGTACGTAATTTAAATAGCTTTAAAAACTTACCGAAGCTTTGAATTATTTAAAAACATTAAAGATTTGATTAGGAAGATAGAAACTTAGATCACTAATGAAGTCAGATAAGTGCAGTTATGTCTATCTAACAAAGCGGCTGTAAATACAGTCCATTATCCTAATGAAAATGTACTCAGTCTAACCAAAACTGTCTCTTTAAATAGCGTCTTTAAAAAATGCGTCTAATGACAAGCATCCTCAAATTATTTCATACTAAATTCCCATAACAAACCGTTCCTACGCACAAAATAAATGTGCAGTATGCAGTATATTTATAGCCGAAAAAGAAAATCATGCATCTGTTTGATCATTATTTGCGTTAATGAAATTGAGCGTTAGGATGAAGAAGGATCGTGAAAATGATAAAAATAGTTTCAAAATTGATAATAAACCATGAAAAATTTCTCAACAAGCAACAAATCATCAAAACATATCCAGAAAGTTAATGACCATCAGCTTTATGAGTCTCGTAAAAATTTTAAAATATTGTTTTTGCTGATTTTAATCGCCCACACTTTTTAAATTGTATTTAAGAGACCCTTATAGATGTTTTGTTTTGTGTTTTTTAGATTTGGTATGCAATTTTAAAAATTTTTGGATGTAAAAGTAAATGAAAATTGTGTAAAGTTTGAATTTAAAAAATGTTGAACTTACAAAAATTAAAATTTGCGAATTTAGCGTTTGAAAACATTTAATAATTCAATTAAACAGTTTTAAAAGTATACAGAAAGTCTTAAAGTTTGGCAATATATTTAAAATTCATATGTAACGCAATCTTAATAAATTTTTATCTCCTCAACTTTCATCTTTTACTATTTTACTAGTTGATTTACATTTTAATAAAAATAAATCATTCTTTAAATATTTGTGAATGAAAATCTCTCAAAACTCATAATAAGATGAAACAGATTTAAATGCTCATATACAAAACGCAAATCCTTACTTTTTTATGTCCGTTTCTTTCAATTTTTACATGTTTTGTCATTTCATCAATGTTCTTAATAAACCATACGTTTAAGTGTTCTTATAACATCAGCAGCAGCAGCACATTAAAAGTATCATATATATCAATTTTTAAAGTGACCGGTGGTTCCAAAAAAATCTTTTCAATTCTTTTCTTTTCTCTTCTTTTTTTTTGTCAAAGGACATTCATAAAAATTTTCAACAAAAACTGGCACACAAACTGAAAAAAAATCTGCCACGTACAAAAAAAATATGTGTAGGAACAAAAAATATTATTAAAATAAAAATGAAATAGAAGGTTGGCATGAGGCTTAGGGTTTTACAGCTCTCGAGAATATAAAAATTATATCGATGTGCATTGACTACCCCCAATACGTACATACGACACAAACGGCAATAACATAAAAAGGACCAGTGAATATGCGTATGGAAATAGAAACATCTGTCCATCCTGAACTAAGCTGAGAGTTAAAAGGCCACAAAACATTGGATATTTCTTTTATTTATATATTTTTTTCGATTTTTTCATAGAATTTTTTTTCAGCTTCCAATTCAGTCACTCGTTAACACATTTTTAGCGTAAAATCGACAGTGTTTTTTGTTACAATTCTAAATTCGTTATGTCCATTTTTGTGTGTCCATTTAAAGAATTTGTGACGTTTTTTGTTGCATCTTTTGTATTGATTGCTTTTTTGTTATTGGAGAAAAATTGCTGGCATATATTTTCTACGATTTTAATTGATTAAAATGTTTGTTGGACACATTAGCTTAACATATTAAATGCTGACCATATTTTTTTCTAGCAAACCTCTTGACTGTTAAGTAACTTCAAAAAATAATTCAATAAACTTCAGAAATGACTCTTTATCTTGAACAATCCCAAATTGACTTGCAACTTATTAAAAACTGCGTCTATTTCAAAAATTCTTTAATAATTTTAAAACTTCTTCAAATGTCTCAAGACATGCAAAATAAATAGAAATTTTATGGGACAATTGGGTTTCATTAGACAGATAGAAGTCAGATGTGCATTTTCCTCAAAAGATATACTGTATTTCATCCATCGGAATGGATAATTATTATTACCATTGGCATAAGAAGAAGAAAAGAGGAATTGAAAAAAGAGAGGGACATCGAGAAGTCCTTATGCAACTTCTTTTATTTTGTCTTTTTTGTCAATGCTCAAAGGAGCATGCATGATCTCTAACGACCTTTTCATACCCGTCTATTACACACATATTGTCGAACTTTCAATGATCTTAAGCTGTGATCTCTGTTGACACTTCGTTGACATGGAAAATTTTACGGTATGCTAAATTTCTACCGATCAGTAAAAATGCGATAATCAGAAATTTAGACAGCATAATTAACTGTGCAGAAATGAGAATGGAAAATGAAATTTTTTGATCGTTCTCATTAACACGATTATTGAAGATAATCTCGGTACTTAATTTTTTGAATGAATGAATGAATTGAATGATTTTATAGCGCGTGGATTATAGATTGAATGGAAGAATATTTTGAGTATTTTACGCAGGCAAAGATTATGCATTATTATGTGTACTTATGAATATTTAATGAACCTTTGGTGAGTGCTTAAGTGTATAAATATTAAAATTGTGTGTTGATTCTAATTGATTCTAATGAATTTAAATGCAACTTAGTAGGTTATTTTAAGCTAGCATCAGATCATTATTTTTAAAGACTTCACCAACAACTAGAATCAAAGCATTAGACTGGCAAAAGATGACGTAATCAGGACTCATCCTTGGTCAATAACTTAAATCATTTTAATTTATTAATTGTAGATTTTTATAATAGATGTTAAATAAATGTTGCTTGAAAATAAAATAGATATTTATAAAATCATATGTCCTGGAAATGAGGTTCACAGCCTTCCTTTGTAGGCTACAGGCATAAATGTCATTAAAGGAGTGGTACGGTCCCACTATAAATTGAGAGGTCTGGCGAACCCTCTCTCGTTTACATGTTTACAGGTTTAACTTTCATTAACCTTGTAAATATAACGAGCAGCTATGGATCTTAAGGTCTGAATGCTAAACTTTTAAATAATTCTTAATAAAACCACTCTAAATGATTTGACAGAAAAGAGTTAACAATCCATAACTTAATCTCATCATTTAACCTAATTAAGAACTTACAAAAATAGAACCAAAAAAAGGTTCAACCATACAAAGACAACACAAATCCCTTAATAAATAAATAAATCTTGACATTCAAAGAGAAATAAAAATTTGTAAAAACAACAAAAATAAATACAGAAAAATCCATTAATTGGGAAAGGATGCCTTTAACCCTGCACATTTCACATCGTCTTCCTGAATATCCAATTCTCAAATTTCAAGATGTGCAACATCTCTTGAACATTTGACCCATAAATAAGGAAAGAAATGAATATGCATATTAAAGTAAAAAAAAAGGTCTCTGCTGCTGCATGTTTCATGACACATTATAATAATATGTATGAAGCCCTTGCAATCGTCAAATAAATACATAATTTAAATATAATAATTTAACCACGTGTCGAGACGCAGCACTTCTTGATGAGATGAAAATTTCCCTCTTTTTTAAAATTTTTTTTTGAGGAAACGACTTTATGGGGATATAAAGGAATAAGAAGCACAAAGAAGAAAAAGATCATAAAGATTTGTTTTTGAGGGTCGAAAAAAAAATATTTCTTAGAAATTTCAATGGAAAAAAAATTCTTGGCACGCGTTTTCATTTGGTCGACGACAGTAGAGGGTCTTTAAAATTTGTTGTGCTGTATTTATCGTATGTGGCTGAACAAGGAAGTATTTTTGAAATCGAAACACCCCGAAAAAATGTCAAATGTCATTGATTGTTTAAAAATATTTAAGTTTTTAATGTAAGAAATGTCTTTTCAATAAAAGACGGAGATCTTTTGAATAGATGAATGGATTGATGAGGAAGGAATAATGAAACCAAAAATTTTATTCAAAATATTTTTATTTATTTTCATAAATGTTTGATCTTTTTTTTGTTGCAGCTTATTGAATAGATTTACATAGTTTTTACTGGTTTTTACAATTTTTATTTGAGATCAATTCAATTAAATAAAATTCATGAATTTAATATTAAAAATAAATAGTATTTAAATACATACTTTGGTACTTTCTGAGACTTTTAAATAGTTTGATTAAAAATAAATCAGTTCTTAATTTAAAAAATCAGTATTAACAAATTTTTGTTTAAATTTAAATTAAGTTTTCAATTAATTTATGACATAAGTTTATTCAAATTTTATTAACAATTTTTTTAATTGGATTCAATGACTTAAAAGTTTACTATTCTACATAATTTTGATTTTTTTGCTCAGCATTAAATAAATAAACTAGATTTTCACACACATTAAAGTAAGAATAATTCTTCAAGAGTTGGAAATTTGTGAACTTATTAATCATATTATTCTTAAGTTATCTTTTAGTTTTTAAATGAAGTTAAAGTCAAACTGTGACCTAAAAGCTTGAACCTTTTCATCATTCAAAATGTTTACATGATCTCAGACTTTTTTTATGAATTAATAAAATAAAGTCTTACTATGGATATCCGATATCAAATTATAAACCAGAATCAGAATGTCCTGACCTCAAAAGTCTATTGAGATATTAGTATCAGGAATCCATAACTGTAATAAGAAGTTGTCTTACTAATATTCAGTTACTGATGATCCATCTGATCAGAAATTTCCAACTCTAGTTAATCTAAAAGTAAATTGAAAGTAGTGTTTCTTAGATCTTATCTCAGTCTTTGATAAGTTTACAAAATATTTGGCTTAAGTATGAACTAAGTTAATAAATTAAATACTAATAATTATAATAATAAGTTACATTGTAAATCAAAGGAAATGACAATATTTTTGGTATCGATTTCTATGCGAAATTATTTATTTTTTAAAACTATTTTACTGAGAGAAAAATATTTTAGACAATTTGGTAATTTTGAAAAAATAAAAGAAGCTATTGAAGATGAAATTAATAGTAACAGGTAATAAATAAGAAGTTACAAGTTTAATAAAATTGAAATGTTTCAGGTACGAAATTTATAAATTATTTGAAAATTATTTATCTGATTTTTAACTTCTTCAAACCTGACTTAATTTCATCACAATATGTATTTACTTAATTTCAATGTGTTAGCTTTCCGCTGAATTTTAATCAAGCAGCATTTTTTCTCTCAGTGTCCTTAAAACTTATCCTTTTTCCATCTTTATGTTCACAAAAAATACAATTTAAGAACAAAAATCATGAAAATTTAGTTTTTAATTCAACAACCTTGACTAGGTTCTTCTCAATTCCGCAAGTTTATATTATAAAATTTACAAACTATTTCCATTTACTTTGCATCGCCATTTTTTCACCAAAACAGATAAAAGTAAGCACAAGTAATGGAAAGACTTTAATGAATGAAGTAGAGAGCATGCGCACACATCCATTATTTGAGCGTCAACACTAATCATCATCATTAAAATCATCATTATGAATGTGGAAATTTGGCAATGTGTAGGAAGAACTGAATTTTATCCTCAGTCTTCATTCCACACATGTTACATTTAAATGGATCATCACCAAGTGAATGATATCCGATATGTAGCGAAAACAGTACATTATCCTTAAATATAATTCCACAAAATTTACACTCATTCTCAGTCGTCCTTTCGGTGCTCTCACAACAAGCTTGCTGCACTGATGATGACGTCACTTTCTCGTTGGATAAACTTTCACAATTTTGTTGCTGTTCTAATAAAATTTCACCGTCATCTGACTGTATGTCCATCTTTTCATCAAATTTAAATGCTTTGCCTTTACGTTTTGTCTTTTTCTCAGTCGGTGTTGATTTTGTTAATTCAATAAAATTTGAGTCAACTTCCTCTGACTGCTGTTCATCATCCATCAAATCACACTTATCATCACTTTCGTTTTCAATATTATTTTGTTGTTGCATCTGCTGCTGTTGCTGCTGTTGTTGTTGTTGGGCAGCAAACATTTGCAGATTCAAGTGGAAGTAAGGAAACAATGACATTTTGTTGCCGACATTTTGAAGCATATTAACCATCATTGCAGCATTCGGTATAAGACTTGACGGCGGTGTTTTGGTGATTGAATTTGTTGTCGATGTCGCTAATGAGCTAGTTGATGGAGTGAGTGGAGGTGAGAGTTGCTGAGTTTGTGCTTTAACTACTGCCTGTTGTTGATGATTCTTCTCAATTTCTGCTAATAGTTTTGCTGTTGTTGCTTTGCTTTTTGGGCCACGTCGTGTGCCATAGACATCAATTATTGGAAGAGGATTTGGAGTTCCATCAAGATTTAAAACAATATCAGGTTTATGGTCATACTTTCTCAAATGAAGTTTTAATGAATGGCAATATTTGGTAGCATAATTACAGTCAACACATCGATACTGCAGCACTGTCGAATGTGACTTTAAATGTGAATTTAACATTGACTTATTCACACAACTATAACTGCAATGAGGACATTGAAATGGTTTTGATCGTGAATGATTCCTTAAATGATATTCCAAGTGATGTTTGTACTCTGTTACGAATGGGCACTTTGGACATTGTAGCATCTTTTCAGGCTTTATATGGGACCTCGTATGATCCCAAAATTCTTGTTTTGAGTGAAAAATTAGTTTACATTGTTTACATTTGTACTGTCGTGGTTTGTTGCTTCCTTTACGCTTCTTTGACTTATCACCATTAATCATGATTCCATCCTCATCATCACCAAAATCATCACTATCCTCGTCATATGAATCGAGACTTTCTGACTGTGTTTCAAGGCTATTGAAATTTAAACTTTCTTCCTTTTCTGGTGTTTGTTCTGAAATTGTTGGTGGTGATTTTGGTGGTGTCACATCTATCGGTGGAGTCATTGAATTGTTATTATCAATCTTCATACTGTTCTTACTTAAATCTTGAGGTTTTGATGGTGTCAATTGATTCTTACGTTGAGTTTGTTGCTGTTTATTTCCATTCAAAAATGATGATTGGAAAAGTAAACCTGAATAACCAGGTGGTGTCAATGGATTGAAAGCACCCAATTGACGAAAAGGATCTAGCATATCAACAGGACTTTGTGGCATAATAGGACTCATCTGTTGATGATGTTGCTGTGAATTCAATTCTAATGGTTCACTTTTTATTTGAACTGTCGATTGTGCTGAATTGTACCATGATTGCTGTTGTTGCTCGAAAATATTTGCCATGATTGCTGTTGATCCGATTTCACTTCCTGCACTTGCATTTGATGATTCCCAATGTTGGAACATCTAGTGGTAATAAAAAAAATTGTTAGCCATTTTTTTATTGCGTCACTAGATATAAAAAATGCTCGACACAAGCCAATAAAAAATCGTCAATGTACGCACAAAAAATTGTACATCAAGATCGATAAAAATGCCTGCCTTCCCAACCCCTCAAGTATTATTTTTTTCATCTCACAATAAAATACAATATACGCACGCATTAAATGTTCGTGTATGGATTTTTTTGTACGTAATGCTTTATATTAAAAATAAAAGTCAGTGCGGGACGAAGTGGATGGAAGTTTTTTCATCTGTTCTATGGACTAAAAAAATTTTACTCATGTGATTTTTTTTCTATATAAATGCTGTTGTATTTTCTCTCCTTCTTTTTATGTCATAAAAATATTGTGAATGTGCGAGGGTTCTATTTTTTCTATTACAATTTTTTTTTGCTATGAGCAATTATTTTGGGAAGCTAATTGAAGGGGTTTTAATGATGGTAATTTTGTCTGATTGTCTTTACCCGAATAGCATAAATCAGTTAATTGAATAGAAATCCGGTGCTAATACGGCATGACTCTGGTACGATGCTGGCTTCGATTTAAATCTAGCTCCATGCCAGAGTCATACACGCTGAGTTTCAGATTTCTAATCAATTAAACGACTTATGCTATTTGGGATAGCAGTTGATTTTTGAAAACTAAGATATCATTATTGAGATAAAATTTAAATTTAAATCAGTTATATTCAGGTTGCCTTAAAAGATTCATACGTGTATTTAAAAGGTAAGCTGAAGTAGCTCGGTGGTTGAATGTTTTAGTATTTATGGACCTAATAATTAGAACATCGCGACAATAATCATCAGTTCGAGACTCTTCTTAAAAAGTTTTTCTTTTTAGGATTATAGGAACTAGAATAAGGCTAAGAGTCTTCTTTTAAGGAGTATAGGCAGAAACATAATTGCCGAAATGGTTCGAAACCATAAACAGTGATCTAAGTTTAGAATTGGTAGCTTTGTGAACTTTAAAGACTACCATTGCCATGTGTTAATATCAAGCTAATCAAAGTATTGTTTTGACAATTTTATTGAATACCGGAATACTTTAAGAAAACCTAAAGCTCAGTAAAAGTTTAAATCTCCATAAAAATATAAGAGCTTGTAGTTATCCAAAATAGCTTCTAATGAACATACAATCTATAGCAATATAAGTTTTACTAAAATGCGCTCTATTCCCACAACAACCAATGACAATTTTCCCAAAAAAAAATTATTTTTTCTATCCACCATCAACTAAATGCTCTTATAATGTAAGGGAGTCGGAATAAATAAATAAATTTTATTCTTCTTTTTTCCATTTTCATCCTCTATATTTTTTTTCGGCTCATTCTACTTTAATATCGCTTCATATACACGAGTAGGATTATATTTTGGAATGAGATTTATTTTCATGATGGTTTATGAAGAAGAGATTGAACAATGATAAACGTATGAGCCATGTATACATAAATTTCATTTATTGTGACCATGATAAAAAATTATTAATGTGAATTAAAGTTGTCGCTACTGCAGAGGCTGCTATTTTTGTTGATGATGGCTGTATAAAGTCACGAAAAACTTTTTAAGGGAGCAAGCGCGAGGAAAATAAAAAATGGAAGTTTTTTTAGGTTTGAATGATTTTTTTTGTGGTGACGATTTTTTATTTTTTGTAATCAATCCTTAATAACTTTAACTTTTCGGTTTTGTAATTTAAAAAAAAAAATTTCAAACAAAAACATTTTAAAATTCAAAAAAAAAATAATTTCTAAAATATTTTTTAATAAAATACTAACATTTATCACCTATTATTCCACTTTAGTGTCTTTTGAATAAAAATTTGCAAAATTTTTAAAGGTCACTTCCACTTTTCACTTTTCTTTAATTTCTTAAACTTTTTATTTACTTTAATTTTTTATCTCGTTTAAAATTTTTTAAATTTTTATTTTTTGTATCTTAAAAAAATATTGATCCTCTCACGCCAAGCTTATGATTAAGACTGCCGTAAGAAATTTTTTTAACATCATTATTAGTTATGTTTTTTTCTCTTCTTCTTCTTCCTCCTATTTTTTTGACATGAGAGAACTTTTTTCCTTTTTTGTATTCTTTTTGTGTCGCCTGTTTTGAAAGCAACATAAAAATCTTAAAAAATGTACATCAGGAGCAATGAGTCAGTTGTTAGAGCCAATCAGAAGCGAGGAATTTCGACATGAGAAAGAGGGGTTAGTATTAGGGTTGATGACAGAATGAGGGATGGAAGTGCTAAGGGATGAAATTGTAATTGATGAAAAAATGGAAAGAAAACTCTAAAATCAATATATTTAATAGAATTTAGAAGTTTTCTGAGTATATATTTAAATAAAGAGTAGGATTTAAAGCTAATTAATTTTAGTTTAATATTTCTTTTCACTTACAAGTTAAAGCAACTTTTACAAATTCAAATTTAAGATGTATTAAAACCTTACAAAATTTAAATTTAAAACATTTGCAAGGTTTTTGATTTCTTATTGGAATTTTTCTCCTTTTTACATGTAATTCAAACTAAGCATAAAACCTCAAAATATTCCTGAATCATTAAACCAGAAGCTTTCCTTGTGTATTTAATGAATTATTAATTAAAAAAAGTGAAAATTAAGAAGAATTCAAATTTGTCCCAACATTATTTATTAAATGTTCTTAAGTCCTCTTAACAGTTTCTGAATCAGTCATATTCTTCAATTTCTCCTCAAGCTTTGCAACTTTTTCACTCAATATTATAATCATTTGACTCATTTTTTCGTGATCTTCAGAACTGTCATCATTTAATTCAGTAAATTCCAAATTTCTTGATCTTCCAATTGCATTTGTGTCTTGACGACTTCGTAAAATGTTAGGATTGTTACATTTACTTTTAACAATTCTCACTATGTCTCTGACCATAGCTTGACTTGCTCGAGCTTCCATGTTGATGCAAGGATTTGCATCAAATCCTAAATAAGCAAGTTTGACTAAATTATCAAAAACAAATTGATCAATATGTGAAATCCGATTATTCGATAAAGTAATTACTTCAAGATTCGGATTGAAATCAAAAAGTCCATCTTCAATGATTTCAATGTTGTTCTTATGCAAACTGAGATAAACTAATTTTTGAAATGGCTTTAAATCAGATTGATGAATTTCTTTGATTCTTCCATGCCAAATGCTTATAAGCTTTAAGTTGTCAAAAACTTTGTCTAATCCAATTGGAAAATATTGAATTGTTTTCTGATAAGAATCAATTCCGTTTACATTGAAGTTAGACTTTCCAGGAAAATGCATGCCAGATGATGAATTTACGTTTGATGATTGAAGAGAATCGATATTTGGATCATTTTTAACATGACAACAATAAATTCTACCCAAAACCCAGTAATTGTTGTTGAAGTTGAAACCACAGTCGATATTTGTCGATGCTAATGTGTAGATAAGTGATATGAAGCAAACGATTTGACTATTAATAAAAATGTTTTAATTATCAGAAATTATACAAGCTTTTAAAATATTTTAAATACTTACAATAAAGTTTTCATGGTTAAAATATTAAGTCTAAATTTGAAAAGATAAACCAAAATATTTTGTAAAGAACGAAATTCAAATCTCCATTATTTGACTGCCAAATAAAGAATGTGAAATATTATACACATTTTTGTTTTGAAATTATTTTGAGAGAATCTGAGAATTTGAATGTGAACATTGATAATAATTCCAGTTGCATTTAGTTTTGAGAGAGAATGAGATTAAATTAGCAGTTCTGAATAATAATAATCTTACTTTAGTTCATTTTTGCGTTAAAATTTATTAAAGATTTAAAAAATTCACATTAAGTTTCTCCTATTGTTCTTTTAAACCTTCAAAATATGCAATCAGCTTCTCTGCAGCTTCCCTGCCAGTATCAATAGCACCATGAACATAACCTTGAAATTTAGAACTTGTTGCTTCTCCAGCAAACAACAACATTGGTTTTCCATTATCATTAAATACAGTTTCTTTCAAATCTTCTGGATAAACATCTTTTTCAGCAGTATTCATCGAGCAATACGAATAAGATCCTAAAAAGTTTTCTCTTGTTAACCATCTTGTCCTTCTCATTGCGATTGGTCGAGAAATTTTTACTTTCATGAATTTTTCCAATAACCAAATGCAATCATTTTCAATTTTTTCATCACTGTAAGTTTCAAATTCCTTCATTTTATTTCCACCTAAAAGAGTTTCTAAGACGTAAGGAAATCCATCAAGGTGCAGGAAGCCATACATGTTTGTCAACCTAATTTGAATATTAAGTGAAAATTATTTGTATGTCCTTAATCTGATTGTAGGGATGATTTGATGTTAAATCATTAGACTCTCTTTTGAGTCACTATTTTTGAAAATTCTTTTGATTCAAGCAATGAATGTCGAGTGCTAATTCAAAAGTACAAACCCATCAAAATATGATTTAAATTTAAAAGAATGAAACCAAAATTTTGAAATCTCATGAAAATCATTAGAACAGTCCAACCACATCCACAGTAAAGTTAGAAAGCCTTTAAACTTTTCTATCAAGAATCTCATGAAATTACGCTTTAAGTTAAGAATGATTTGATGTAAAACTTCATCGTCAAGTTACGTTATAAATACTCACCATTCCTTATCAGTTCCCCTGATATCATCTAAATCCTCTGGTGTCCATAAAAAGGCACACACTTTAAAATTGTTATTTAATTTCTTCCAAAACGGCTCCTCAAATTCCAAGAAAACCTTTCCTAAAGTTCCAAACTGGATGTTCTCGATTGCTTTAATTTTCTTTTCAGGTAACATTGGAGTAAATAGAAGTTTATGATGAGCCTGTAATGCACCTAAAGGAATTGTTACAATCAAATGATCAGCTTGATAGACATGTCGATCTAATGTCCTTATTACTATTTTGTCTGTATCCCAGTTTATATGATCGACTTTTTTGTTCAATTGAATCTTGTCTTTTAATACTTCTTCAACTTTGAATTTCTTTTGAATAATATCAAAAAGTGTTTTATAGCCAGAAGTTCTCCATGTCTGATCCTGACTTCCTTCACAAACTACAACTTGAGAATAACGATTGGCTGAAATTTTATACCAACTAGTGGATGCATAATTAGCGTTGACCTCGGTTTCCCATAATTTTCGAACCATTTCACGCATTTCTTCATCTGCATCGTCATATTCTGATGATTCAAGTTCTTGGTTATATTTTTGATCAAAAAATTCTCCAATTGATCCTTTGAATTCTCGCATTTCATCAATCATGTCTTCAATTTTAGACCTTACTGCAGACAATTTTCCAAATATTTGTTTATCAACTCTTGACCCATTCGAAATTAATCCTACAAATCCATTTGTATCGTAAAATCCAGTACATCCAAATTCAAAATCATTGTGACACAATTCATACACAGAATTGCCTTCCTGTCCACTACACCATTGCGCACCAAAATCTATGAATCCATCGTTAAATCTTCTTGAGTCAATTCTTCCCCCAATTCGATCTTCAGCTTCAAGAATTGTGACATTTGTGAATCCTTTGGATATCAAATTACATGCAGCAATTATTCCACTAGCACCAGCACCAATAATAATTATATGAGGACTGTTAGACATTTCAGTTCACTAGCTTTAAATAGACTGAATGAGAAATATTTTTTATAAAAATTGTGTGATAATATATTTTTTATCAGTTCCTTCATGTGCAGCTTTGTTGTTTTTTTTTTCCTTACTTACTTAACAATTATCTATTTGTGATTAAGATTATTTTGGTGAAAATAATGATATCGATTGATAAAAAATATTTCAAGTTTAGACTTTTACAGTAAGTTTTAAAGATAACAGAAATAATGCATTCCAAATCTTTGTGTTCTTAATATCTTTTGCAAAGATTAAGTTTTATATCTATTTAATGTTATAAATCATATTAGTGGCATCTGAGCAGAGTGCAATCTGTTGTATCGAGTTATATATATTCGAATCTGTCCGTACGAGAATAAGGCTTCTATGACCGAGTGGAAGGATAACAGACCAGATTGCTGTATGTCTCTTTTGTGTGAACTTGGCTTGATTCTTACCATAGACAGATCTTTCAATCTTTAATATATAGTTTTGTGTCACAACACTCCAAAATTAAAGAAGAACTACTTAATTTATCAAATGATGAAATATGAAGCTTAAAATTTATTCGAAAAAGGCAATTACAAAATTTAATAAATTGGTTTAAATGCAATTAAAAAAATTAGAATATATTGAAAACTTAGTAGTTTATTTATTAAAAAGACTAGTTCATTTTAGAAATGATATATATGTAATATCCAGTAATACCGCAATGATATCATAATACTGGTGATTAAAATAAATTAAAAATAAATCTGAATAAAGGGTGCAAAACTAATACAATTTTCAAAAAGTATCAAAAAAAATTATCAAAAATTATCACACTTGATCTGAATCAGCTTTATGTTTTACGCACTAGACATTAAACTTGTCATGACTTCTGTTCCATCTCTTGGATTTCTTACATCCCTAATTCTTTCCCGGTTGATTCTCGGAGGTGGATAATTGTGTTCACATTTCTTTGAACCACAACATTTGTTCATGCAAACGAAGCAAGCACACATTAAAACAAAAATCATAAATGTCATTAAGATCGCAAAGATAAGTCCCATTCCAACAACGATTAAGAAAACTTCACTTAGTGGCTTTAGGTCAATTTTGTAGACTTCGTAATCTTTTGTTGTTTCATTTTTAAGTGATGTTCCATTAACAAGAGCTTCACTTGATGTCGTTTGTAAAACAAATGTGAGAATCCCAAAGATGATGAATCTAATTTTTATTAACAATTTCAATATTATGATTAAATTAATTTACAGCAGAGGATTTTACTCACTTTTTGAATCCTAATTGCATCATTTTTAACTTTTTTGTCTAGTTCAGAAACAAGAATTGTAAAATGATCTTAATAATTAAAAAAATTGCTTTTATGGGACTAAAAACAATCGCTTTTGAATATTTTTCCAAAGTACAGTGATCAGAATATAATTTCATGCTGATGAATAGTGCTGATGAGTAATTTTTGCTTTAGTTTAAATTATATCTTCTTCACACCAGTTATCAGTTTATTAAACTAAATACATCCCTGAAAATTATTCAAACAAAATTTGTCATCAGAAATAAAACGATTTGTGGTTTGATATCAAATTTAATCTTTATTTAACTCTTATAGGATAAATTTATATTATAAAATATTTTCAGCCACATCAAAACCAAGGCGTGGAAACTATCCCAAATATCCCATTTATCCCATATATTCCAAAAATATTCAAAATAGTCCCTGAGCCTGTATGCATTAGAATTGAGATATCCCATCATATCCTGAAATTACACGTCCAATACACTAAGGATACGTTGGGATATCTTTATTATCGTGCATACATGCTCAGGAAGTTTTTTGAATGTTTTTGGGATAAATATGATATTTGGGATAGTTTACACGCCTTGATCAAAACTGACCAAATTCATCAAATTCTGTCCTTAACAACCCTGCCTATATTTCCTGATTTTGATGTATTATTATAATTACAATAGTCTTTTGTATGTTTGATCACATATTTAATATCTAGATCTGTATATCTGTTCTCGTAATTAATGCATGTATTCCATTCAAGTCCCAAGTAAGTCAAATTAGCTAAATTATTAAAAACATATTCACCAATATTATAAATTTTATTATTCGAAAGTGAAATCACTTCTAATTTAGGATTATAATCAAAGAGTCCACTTTCAAGAACTTTAATGTCATTTTCGTATAAACTTAGATAAACTAATTCTGGAAATGACTTTAAGTTAGATTTTGAGATTCCAATAATTCTTCCATACCAAATGATGATTAATTTTAAATTAGCAAATATTTTCTGTAATCCATGCGGGAAGTACTTGATTGTTCTTTTATAAGACTCGAATCCAATGACGTCATTATTTGTCTTTTCATACTTATGATATCCAATTGATGAGTTTATATATGATAAATATAAACTTTCAATTTTAGGGTCACTGTCTAGATAGCAATAATAAATATTTGTCATATCCCAAACTTCTAAGCTTCGTTTGTAGTCACAATCAATGTTTGTAGCATGAGATAGTGAAATCGCAAAGATGATAGATCTGTAGAACAAAAATTCAGTCATTTTAAAAATTTTACAAATCGTAAATTTACTTACATTATTAAATTCATCTTTTCTTCTTTTTAATTTTTCTTTAAATTATAATTATTAATGTGCTGCAAAGAAATAATTTTGAACTTCACAAATTAAACGACTATCGCAAAATATATAAATTTTATTATCACTTTAAATAATTGTTTTTTCTTTTAATCTCTGTTAAAATGTTTATGTCAGTTTCATGACTTTAATCTGGAAGCTTATGAAGATAATTGTTTTAAAAATATAATATATTTACCTCACAGATTAAAAAATAATTTAAATTAAAAAACTATTTTAATATAAAATCACAACGTAAATGTGTGTAAATCAGGAATTAAAAAACCTGGCTACGCCACTGGAATGAATGTGATCATATAAACCATATTATCAGTATTAATAAATTAAAACTTATTAAAACACAACCCATTTTTATTTTTTTTGATTAATTTATTTCAGATTTTTTTCTCATTTTATTATAAAAATTTCTAAAATTTAAGGAAATTTTTATTTCTTAATAATCACATTTCAATCAAAAAGTATTAAAATAGATTTTTATAACATCTTTAAAGTTTTTATCTCTTTTTAAATTTTTGAATTTTCAACACCAACAACTTATCAAAAATGTTAAGATTTATGTATAGTTTCCAAGATATTAAAATTGAACACATTATCAATATTAAATGTGTGATTTTTTATCTCTTATCATAGCCAACACCTAATTATATTGAGCAACATTTATTGAATATTTTGGAATCAAGCTTAAAATATGAATTATCAAAATATTTCAAAGCTCAATGTCAATTAAGATGTTAGAGTCAATGATGTTATCTTTAAAACTATAATATTAATTGTATATTTGGGGATACAAATCTTATATCATAACTGCTTGGCTTTTTCTAAAATATCTTTAAAAATATTTTTCTACTTTTTTCTTATCTAACTCTCTGCATTTTACAAATTTTTAATAATTCATAAAAAATTCTATTCGTTAAAAAATAAAATCAGTCATTCTTCATAATTCCTTCTCAATATACAATATACATAAACATCTAATTATGTAAAAATATATGCTCATGCTTATGATTAACTAATAAAGCTTTCAATTTGACGAATTAATGGCTGTGAATTTAAAATTTTGAAGTTTATGATCAAATTTTAAATTTCTCCAACAAATTGAAAGCTTATTTTATGTTTGACCATAAAATTATATTCTTTTAAGATTTATTTTAATATTAATAATGAATAAGTCTATTGAGTTTAAATGAATTCTAAGTTATTAAAAAATGAGACTTTAACTACTTCCATTAGCAAGAAACTTTGCTTGCTCGTCATTTGTTTCATTTTCATTATTAATCACAGATTTATCTTTGATGTAGCCATTTGTGCCATTTTGTATCTTCGGTATAGTTCCATTGCTGTTGAGATTCTTCATTTCCACTGATTTCACATCAACGTCCTCAATGTAAAGTCGATTTTTAAGGAAATAGAGCCAAATCATTGGAAAGACCATCATAGCGCATGTAACTGAAAATATCCACGTAGTTCCATAACGTGTGTAGAAAGATCCAACAGCAAGAGGTCCAAAAATTCTCGACACACAGCCAGCGCCTGTAAATAGTCCCATCCTAAAATAAGAAAAAAATAAATTGAAAATTTCTATTCAAAAATAAACTATAGAAGTTCCATACCAAGTTCCTTGTGGTCTTGCCCCAAGAATTTTTGAGAATATTGTTTGAATTAATGTGACTCCAATGGGATATCCAACAGCACTAATCATATAGCCAGTCAAAAATTCAGGAAATTGTAGCTGTAAAGTTGTTGCACACCATGGCTGCGTTTGTGCAGGACATCCAAGAACCATCGGATCATCTTCATCATATAGTCCCATTGTGCCATTTTCCATAACAAATTCACGATCAAGAGATATTTTTGGAATATCTCCTCTATAAGGAATGAATATAAAACGTCCAAGAACCATAATAAAGAATCCACCCCAAATGAGAAGATCAGATTCAGAGTAACGACGGCAAAGTGGTGGAATGAGCAAAAATGCAGCACAAGCCACGAATGCTCCGATTGAGAGAAGTGCTCCTAAAATTAATAACAAATTTAATCATGATCGTAAATTCTAGAAGTTGGACCTTACCCATATAATAAAGTGCCTCTGACTTTGTCCATGCAAATTGATCCATAGCTAATGAGGTTCCAAGAGTTTCTAGAGAAGATTACAAGTTAACTTTTATCTTGATATTAAACTTTCTCATAGCTTACCGAGTAATACAAAATTAAAGGATATGACGAAGAATGAAAAAATCAACGTCCATGCTGTTGTGTAGTCAATTTTAACTGACTTCCAGGTCTCTTTTTCAGTTTCCTTTCCTTGTATTAACATTTGTTCTTTGGCGGCAATTCTACAATCCCTGAAGTAATATGGAAGGAAGAGAACAAAGTTGATGACACCTAAAAAGACATTGGCCCATCCAGCTGCTGTATACTACAAATGTGAAATTTCACAGATTAAAGTTAAATAGTTTTTTTTAATCAAAATTCAACTAATTACCATATTAATAGTAAATCCCATGAAAATAAAGCCATCAGTTCCAAGAGGAGTTACTGCAGCCTGAAGTGCAGGACCAAATACAAATCCAAGCACCTGAGCCAAACTCATCATTGAGACTGCATCAGTTCTTTCTTTAACTGTCGTTGCAGCAGATAAGTATGAACGACAGACTGCAATATTTGCTGATGATACACCAACAAAGAATCGAGCGATAAACATCCAATATTTGACATTGTTTTCGAACATGTCCAAAGTTGAATAAACACCACTTGAAATGCAGAAAATTGCCATTGATGCCATAAGTGGAAGTCTTATTGACTTCATTTTATTGGACCACCATCCAAAAAGTGGACTGAATATCATTTGACCGAGAGGATTGGCTGCAACAACAAGACCCATGAATTCTTTTCCGGCGTGAGGATCGAGCTGTAAAAAAGGAAACAAGAATGAATTATTGACAAGTTACAAAGAAACGGGTTTTTAAAGTAATTTTTATGAATGAAAATCAATTTTATTTATGAAGTTTGATTGCTGCTTTTGATAACATTTGCCGCGGGTATGAAAAACTTGTTCAAAACATGACAAATTCATTTCTGCCATCAAATTTTAATTTTGAGAATAATCGTGAAGACATCATGATATTGATTGCTGACAGAAAGTCATAAATTATTGTAATTCTTCATTTTCATCAAAAGTATGCAAAACTGAAGCACATGTGCAACGTTCTGAGGACTAGAAGCCAACGAAAGCGCAAAGAATTTAGAAAGAAAAAAAAATCAAGAAAATTTGAAAACCAAAATTCGAAAAAAATACGAAAGACACCCTCCCCCCCCCCCCCTGCTCATAGTTTAATAATTGAAACTAATCTTTTGCAGTTTGTTGCTGAGCAAACAGTTTGACTCATCCTTATCTTTTTTATTCGACATATTGATAACAAAATAAATTTTAAAGACTTTTTTCAGGTCAGTAGACTCTTTTAAGATTTATGCTGTGATTTTCAAGTGTAGACAAAATTGTCTTATATTATATTATACAAAACAAGATTCAATACAGAAGCAATAAAACAGATGTGAAATATTTTTTCATACTCATTTTCTTGACCTTACTTAACAATTTTTTCGCATGTATGAAAACAAATACTTTTTCATTAAAATGTGTTTAAGGCATTTTCTTCTTGTTCCTTCACTGAGAAGAGTGAAAAAATTCGTTAAAAAAATTCTCTTCATATTTATATTTTTGGTTAAAATTATTTTACAAGCTACACATGCTGTCATGTCGAAAAAATACAGTCAGAAAAGTCAACAAACCCATTTTATTATCAACTTATCAAACAGCAATTATTTGTTTCTCTTTTTTTCTTTGTTTCAAACGCACAATTAAGTTGTTGATGTGTTCTTGACAGAAGGTATGAAAGCACGGATCAAATTAAGCTGAATTTTTGGAAACTTTACATTTTTATTCTTTAATGATTAAAACTCAAAATTCTGTTTTACAGTATTTGGTCAAATATAAAGTATTTCAGGATGTCGTTATCAAAAATCACAAAAAAAAATATAAAATCAAGTAACAAACCTTATCAAGGTATGGCCATATTCCAGTCAATACAATTGAAAAGCCCAAGCTTATCAAGAACATTGTAAAGTAAATGATGCGTAATGACCACATTCGATTCCTCTTTTCCTCGTCTGTTTCAAGAATAATCGGCTTTTTCTCTTTCCTCTCGCCATTCTCAACTGTTGATGAATTCATGTGCTGTTGCTCTTCAGTCATTATTGTGAATAAGAAGATTTAATTTATTGAACGAGGAAAGAAAGGAAATAAATTGAAGAAGCAGATGGAAACGCAAAAGGAGACGGTGATGATGATGATGATGTGATGCAAAATTCTGCAAATAAAGTAAATTTTAAAACCATTAGAAAACTTGTATCAAGACGTTCATTTTTATAGACTTTATGCAAAAATTTAATAAATTTTAAAAACTGCATTCATGATTCGTCCAAACTGGTTTGTTTCAATTTTTTATTTAAGTTTTATTAAATTAAAGAAATTGAACAAAAAATCAAATTAAAAGTTGATGATTCATTTGATTTTCTTCCATTGTGAATGATGTCTGCATCTCATAAAATAGCTTTCAATAAACAAATATCCAATATTTCAATAACCGAATTCAGGCTTTCGTTTTTTTTTTGTTTGGAACTGCATACATTTCAGAAATTTCATACCAACTTTTCAGTTTTAAACCAGAGAATTGTATAATTTAGATTTGATCTATTTATTTTTATTATTGATGCAAATTCAAATTTTGTTAAAGTCTTTGCTTTTCATTTAAATGGTGAACAGGTTTAAGGCAATATTCAATGTCTAAGAAAAGTCTGTTAGTCTTTTTAATGTTGCTTGAGCTTTTAAAAACATTTTGAAATTGTTTCAAAACCACAAGTCGGTTAATCGATTATAAATCCGGCACCAAGCCAGTGTGATGTTGAAATGATGCTGAATTCAATTTAAATCCTGGACCATGATAGAGTCACACTGGCTTGGTGCCGGATTTATGATCGATTAACCAACTTATGCTATTCAAAGTAAGGCTCTCGCATATTATAATCTTTAAAAAATCCAATACAAAGATTGTAATCTTCAATATTACATTCTTTGTATGAAAATTATAATTTTTTCGTTTTTTAAGATTAAAATCTTCATACAAAGATTATAAAATAAAATTATTGAAATTTTCAAAGTGTGAATCAAAGTTAAAGATAAAGTTCAGAATAGAATGTCAATTTAATATAATCATTATTAATTACTTAAAAATTCAGTCTTTTTTGTTTGATTGTCATCCAGAATAAATGACTTTCAGTTTATAATTACTTTAATAACACATCATATCATTCACATGTGTGTTTATTTCTGTGACTAAATAAATTTTAGCACAAAATATTTTCAAATAGACATAAAAGAATAAAAGTTGAGCAAATAGAATGTAAAAAAAAATTTACATAAAAATGTTTCATTATCTGACCACGATAAGAACAAATTAAATATTTTATTTCCTTTATTGTAGTCTCATTAAAATTATGAAAGAAAATTCTATGCTCATTTTTTCATCAACAGACACATAATATCCGCTATGAGTCATTTGATGATTATAAAAATGGTTTTCGGCTATTGCAATGAGGGATATAATAAAATTAGAATATAATGTCAATGTCATCGGGAGAAACTCAAGTATTCATGATGTTGAAGTCGATTCAATGGTTCTTGAATAAATAAACCTGAAGAATTTCGTCTAGTGTTTTTGCATGAATTATCTCAGATTTTAAATGAACAATTTGTTGAGAATATTTATTAAAAATATATTTTGCACTTCTTTTGCACGTCTTTCGTTGAAATAAATCCCATTAAAAATTCATCAACCAAAAAATATTGTAAAAAAAATCAAATTGAAGTCTTTAAACAGTTTATACAGCAAAAAGTTTATCACAATATAAAAACACAAATAACAACAACGAGAACCAACTTGTAGCTCCTACGCAATGAATAAATGAGACTCTTGTAATGCAGACTCCAGTCTTTTTATATATCAAGGCAGAGCATATGATATACGATATTTACTGGGTCATGATGACGCTCTTTTAATGATTTCATAATAAGTACATGGCAATGTGTGTGTGTTCATAATCGCAAAAACAGCTTAATTGAGTAAAAGAAGAAAGAATCAAAACAAAGAAACTAACACAGTTAATGAAAAAAAAGACGACCGCATGCTAATGATCACGACGTAACTGAATAATCGTAATTGACTTGTGTTATTAATGACTAATTTAAGTCCAGCGACCTTTGAATGCTTGATTTTTCTATAGATTTGTTTCAGCAAACCGTTTCTTTATGTTTGTCGATTTTCTTCATATCTTTTTTGCAATTTGTATTTTCATGTCTACTTCTGTGAGCTATGTTATTGCAATGTTGGCTTGGATGACCTTGAAATTGAATTTGTAGCACACGCATACACAAAAGTATTTTTTATGATTGTAGAAAACATTTGAATGGAAATAAGTTTCATGGGATGGAAACTTAATTGAAATTAAATTTTTTTTGGGATATTTCAAATTGCACGTACAAAACAGGCTCTTTTTTAGTGCAGCAATCAAGAGCAAACTTTGAAGCTGAAGACTCCTCTTTTAGAATCCAGCAATTATTTCATTTTAAAGCCATATGACAACTTGTTCATCAAGTTTGTGTATAAACTTTATTATTCCACAGACACAACTTCAACAAATGCTTAGTAATTCAAATAAAAAACTTTACTTTAATCAGCAAAAGAATACTTATTATTTTCTGTAAACATTTCATGATTCTCGTCGGAAGAAAATTTCTGCACAACACACCCAACTTATATTAGATGTAAAGATAATGACTGCTTGTTATTACAGAAAATAATTATTGTTATCATAAGCAAACTGCAAATGGAAATGAAAATTACATGTTAGAAAAACATTGTAGCTTGTTGATAACAATCAGTCAAGTTCGTTTGGTAGGCGTTTTGTATGTGACAATTTGATACGAAATATTGAACTGGATTGAGATTTAAATATTTTTTGTATAATTTACTTTTAAAATAATCTATAGGTCTGGCAAACAGCTGTAGATTAGGATTGCCCCAAACTTCGAATATGTCAAGAAAGTGTTGAAATTCCTTAAATCATATTTTATTTTAAGATTTGTAAATTTGATTAAACTTCTTATATTTTTGTTTAATCCTGTCGAACTTTACAATATTTACTTGAATATTCATCCAATCCGATATATAATTAGTCATATAGCAGTTCATGATTGAAATTTATTATAAAGTTGTTCAAATTGAATTGCAAATTAAACAACAATATTACTTTGTAACAAATAGCTAATTGAATGATAATTATCGGAAGCTCTCAGCCCAACCTTTCTCAACTTGAATCAACACGGAAATAGCAACTTTCTGATTTACATAAATGACTTTTATAGATAAAAAATTAAAATTCTGAGTCAGAAAACTCAACAAACAATTCACTCAGCGCATTATGATAATAAATCAGATCAAACTAAAGTGATAATAAGATAATATTGACTATCTTACTTTGTATATCATTCGATGCTATGTTAGTACTTTAGTTTGATTTCTAATTGCATCTATTGCATAATTCAAGAAGTCGGTAAGAAGAAGTAAACGAAAATGAACTGAAAAATCAGGTCGATGGAAGTAAGCTTTAAAGCTATTCAATTTCCAAATTGGAATAGTTCTATTTTTAATCGCAGACAATGTTTTCGTAAGAAAATGAAAGTATCATCTGATTTCTACAATGTTTAGACATATTCAAATCTAGTCGAGTTGAAGGGAGTTTGGTTGAAAATCTTTAATCTCTAATCAAAAGTTTTTCTGTCTTTAAATTTAATCAACGAAAATGATTTATTTTTTCACTGTCAAATCTATACACTTAAATAAAATAATATTTTAAATATTTGATGAGGAAGGCACATTTAGCTAATAATAAGTGCAATATCATACTTTATTTTCTCTGTCATTAAACTTTTAAAGGATTTGATTTCACTAGATTTAATATTTTTACAAATACAGCAATTTTAATAATTTTAACGGTCTAGGTTAAGTTTTAGTTGTTTGATATTGTAGAGAGTCAGGTGATATTGGAAAATTTATTATTGTTTTAATTTCCGAATTCAATCAAATTGTTCAAAAATATTTCAACTTTTTATTTGAATACAAAAATGTTGAAAAAGAGTTGAAATCTAGAACAGGTCTATGATAAATCCATTACCGGTATATTTGGTATCAATGACCCATGAAGTTCCCAATTCAGTAATTCCAAAATGACAAAGAGAATGGAATTTAAAATGACTCAGAACTTTTAATCATTTACACAAAAATGTTCGGAGCATTATCTATTTTTTTTTAAAAAAAAGTTAAATCGGGTTAAATCCATTAGAGGATCCACTCTATTAAATCATTAAATCACAGCTAATATGAGAAATTTAAAATATTTATTTCAAAGCATCCTGGTGACACAACTATATGATAATTACTAATTAGATAAATTTTGGAAGTCACTAAGTGTAAACTTCTAATTGGCAGTCACATCAAGTGTTAATTAATGCACTTGTTTTTATCTTTTCTGTTTTATTTAAGTTGTGATTTTTCAACAAATTATTCTCATTGTAATTTCAATTAATTCTCAATTTATCTTTTATTTCTCTCATAATAATGAATAGCTACATTCTTGCCCTAATTTATAGTAATTAACTGTAAATAAGGACAAGGAAATCACAATAAGAGCTTAAAAGTAGGAAACCATATTTCACAAAAACGTGAAACATTTGACTTTTTCTATCACTGTGTGTATATTTCATCGCTACAAACTAATTTTACATTAAACACATGCTTATTTGTAATTTTAATTTAACTAAGCCTTTATGGTTTTACATTTCTAATAATCAAATATTCAGAAATTCACAACAGCAAAATGTTTTTTTGCACAGTAGTGGTCGATTATTTAAAAGGTAAAATACAACCTTTATTACCGAAGCGATGACTATAATTTTTGTACACTTTATATTCGTAACTCTTTGATGAAGAGGACATGAAGTAAAATTTAAGTTTGAAAGAGTTTCAAGTTTAATTTTAAAAAGGCGCATGCTTTTCGTTCAAATTGTAATTTTCAAGTTGACACATTTTATTTTCGACTATCTTCTTCAATTTAAAAACTACCTTAAAATATTTTTAAAAATTTCAAAAATTGTTTAAAATTTAAAAAATTAAATGTTCAAACTCAATAAGTAAATATTAAAGTAATCCAGAAGATTCGGTGTGATTGAACGGAAGAACCTTGTGCAATACAAAAATTACCGCTAGTTTCTAAATTTGTATAAACTTATAGACAAAAACTTGATTTTACTTTGTCATGAAGAAGAAAAGCACCAAAACTAGGTCTTTTGTAGACTGAATTAAAATTGATATAAATTTAATCCATCACATTAAAGTAGTTTAAATTAAAAAATCTAACATCATTTGCAATACTAGATTAATCATATTGCAATAAATAATGGATATCATAAATGCGAGTACAAATATTTTGTTGATAAACAAAAGAAAACCTCAATGCTCATATTTATTTATTTATCAGCTGTTTTCTTTATTCATAGCAGTCGTTGACTGCCATGCCTGCTTGAGACGAACGTCGTACTTGAAAAAACACAGCACAACAGATAGGATAAAAAAATAATAATTTCTCTTACTTTTCCTCTCCCGAAATCTGCGCAGTTGGTGAATATTTTTATATTTTTAAAAAAAACTCTTCAATTTTTTTTTTCGTCGTCAACAGAATTTATAATTTTATTTAACTATTGATTCACTCCATGTCTTTAACTTTCAATACACACAAAATTGTTCTAAAACTTGTTTTTCAGATTCTCATTGACACAATTTTTTTTTTATTTTTTTTTGTGTAAGTTTTTTATGCTAAAATTTCACTTTCACTTTTTTCATGAAACTCAAATTTTAGTATGTTTTTAAATTTAAATTGCAGTTGCTTTAACACAAATTTCTGCAAAAAAAAACACTTCTTTGTTAGAATTTTTTACAAGTTCACTCCTTTACGAACCAATCTTAATGACGTTTCTGAAGCAAATAAAGAGATCTGTGGCTGAATATTATGAGCAGTAGAGGAAGAGATATATACACAACAAAATACACTTACATTCTCACTCAGCTGTGAATATTTTTTGTTTACTATTTATTTTCTCTTTTATAGACGAAGCAATGTGTTCAGTCAGTCGGATTGTTTGTGCATGTATGTGTGAGACTTACTAATACAATCATAAAATCAGTTTGTTTAGAAAGAGAAGGCAATACAACAAATCGAATACTTAATTGTATTAGTGTACGTCTACGTCATACGTAAGTTTTTAAAAAAGTTCACACCGAACCATCATGTTCGTGCATGACAAGTACTTTTATGACTTTTATCATCTTGTATGATATTAGTCATTTTATCTTTCTTGTCTTTGTCATTTTCAAATTGCTTTTTATCATTTTCTTTAATGGTTTTATTGTTGAAATGTGAATCTGCAAAATTTTATCTCTGCAAACTTTTACGGTTCTTATCTTCACATGTTGAAAGCATGGAGAAAAAGATAATCGTGGCAGATAAGGGTATATTAAGTTTTAAATTTTCTATTGTAGGAAGAAATTTATTTTAGATTGCTTGTGAAATTTTATCGGATGAATAATGCTTTGAGGCACATGTTTTGACGAGCCTGAAATAATTCGATGAGTTGCTAATTAAAAAAGGACACTCATTACTGTCACTAATGAAATTATTAAAGGAATTTCATTTAAATGCTAAAGTTGAAAAAAAAAATAGTATTGTGTGAATTTGGTTCCTCAAGGCTATTAAAAATTAAACTCTGTACAAAATTTGTTGCCCAATAAAGTGTTTTTGAAATATTAGACTTTAAATTTAAGCAGTGAACATTTTTTTGAAGATTCAAATTAATGAAATATTCGTAAATTATATTTCAAATTGAATTAAATATGTTCTTGAAAATTGTATGAATATTTATTAAAAATCTAAAATCATGGGACAGAATTTTGCTATTTTTTGTTATTCGTGACATTCTAAATTTGATAGGATATTGTTTAGAGCAGTGCTGTCCAACCTTTTTTGAGCCATGGCACCCATGAGGGGGAAGCTATGACCAAAGTAACACACAGCATACGGCTCGTTTCATTTTCAAAAAATTTTGCGATACAATATTGTGCCGCGGTACACAGTTTGGACAACACTGGTTTAGAGCCCTTAAACCAATATTTCCCTATTTTTATGCTTTTAAAAAACTTAAAAATAAAAAAATCATTTGTTTTTATGTTTTGTCCCTTCAAAAAGATTGTGCGACGAGACTATTAAGGTTTGTCGCAAATTATTTTAAATTTAAAAATGGACCGTGGATAAAAACGTTTGTGAAACACTGCTCCACACCATTACGATGTCACAAAAAGTTTCAGATATCATTTTTTATCCTGATTTCAGAGCATTATGAAAAATGGTATGTCATTTGTGGTGCTTTACACATCACATGTGTTAGAAAATTTAAAAAAATTTGTGTCAATTGTCTTATGACATTTACAGACTTTCTTTACTTTTAAGTAAAGCCAATGTTTGGAACAGAAAGTTATGTATCAAACCACCAATACACAATGTGGCTAATATCTTTAAAGTAAAAATAACTATATCATAAATTATTTACAGAAAAAAACACCCTAATCGGCCAACAAAAACATTTCAATGAAATAATTCCTAAATGTTAGTTAAGCTTTCCATTTAAAAAGTTTGAAAACAAAATCCCCCGTACGATATTAGGGACCTGTTTATTTTGAACTTTTGAACTTTTTTTGTTGTTTTAATTTTACAACCTTTATTATTTCTCCTACGCATATTTCCTTTAAAAATATGTTAAAAACAAAACCGAGAGTAAATATCATGTAAATGAAATAATAATCTGTATGTTATGCTGCATTTGATTAAGATTACATAAAAATAAATCCATATAATAAAAATAATGCAAAGTAATAATAACAAAACGGAATCAAAAATGGCACAGGTGAATTAGAAGCACATTACAGAACACATCAATCAAAATTGTCAATCTTAGTAGATTTTTTGGTAATAGAATTATATTAAAAAGAATGAAATATTGTCCTAATAATGAAATAAAAGATGAATAAGTGAGTTGATTATGAGTCAGCTGAGTGTTTGGAATTGATTTGTAAATGGATCATTGCTGCATGAATAGAAAAGTCAATTGTTGATGTAAAGAATTGGAACTTATGAAATATTGATACTTTTTATGATTTGGATTCAATATATTTACTTTTTCAGAATAATTTCTGATTAAAAGCTTATTCTTAGTTTAGAACTCAATGAGAACAAAAACATTTGAAAATAGAACCTTTTAAAAGTGGGTGCTACCTGAAAATATATTTCATTCAAACTACCCACTTACTTAGAATCCTGCATATTATCAGCATATTTTTGAAGATAAAATTAGAATTATTTTTATCTCAAAATTTTTTAAGAAAATCATGAAATGTGTCCTTAAAGGTTACTAAAATAATTCTTAGAACCTTTTAGAACTTGATAATATTGAAGGTTTCGATAATTATGCAAATCAAGCCAAGATAAAAGTTATAGCAAAACAGACTCTGACGTTTAAGAAATACGAATGTGTTGATAAAATATTCTTGAAATCCCTTCAACTTGGTGTAGGTAGAAAATATGTAATACGATGAATACGAAAGGGTAGTTTAAAAATTGCAAAGAACTTTTGTATAGAAAGATAACATCATGCATTTTTTATTGTTCCACCTACATACGCTCTTGAACCATTTATATCAATCAGACTGAAAAACCTTATTTTTATGATAATACTTCTCAGCATATAAAATTTTAATTGATTGATTTTACATAAACTTTGTAAGCTTGAGATTACATAAAAATATGAGATTTCTTTTAAGCATTGCAGATTTACTTCATTAATTTCAGATTTAAAATTCTTCCTTAAAATTTCTCATACTAATAAGTATTGTTGCAGATCAATGATGCTTGTTGCTTTCTTATTAATTTTTCTCTCTTGTAGGTATTTGACATAGCAGATGATTTTGTTTTGAACGGCTCATCTCCCAAGAAAGGGTTACATGACAGGCTGATTATGATTATTGGTCATTCATATCATATCAAACGTACGAAAGAAGTAAACTTTTTGATGTCGGTCAGATTATTTTTTGTCAACATATGCAAAACTTTTAAAATAAGGTTTATCCTTGTTCTTTGAATGTATACCTTCAAATTGTTAAATAACAAAAAATTTAATACTTTTTTGACAAAACGAATATCTGTCGCGTTTCCAATGACAATGTTTACAAGAAGTAATAAATTTTTCACTTTGATTTTTAAATTTTATTATGCTTAAAAGGTTAAACTTCTGGTAAAAGGAGAAAAATAAGCCAGGCAGAACAAAATAAATATTTAAAGAGGTAAAAAATAGAAATGACATCAAACAGGATCCAATAAAATTTCCATATTTTCTTTCATAAATCTGAAATGGAAGAAAGCAAATTGGAAAATCATTTCACATGTAAATAGAGCATATGTGTTTACTCCTTTTAAAGAACGTGTAGTATAAGGTATGAAAAGGTTACCTACATATTTTTGGGTTTCACATTTTCTGTCAAATTATTGAGAATAGCTTGTATATTTGTTTTTGTATTTAAATCTACAAAATTAAGAATTAGAAAAATTTTATAATTTTAATTTTAATAATCAACAAAACCTGGAAGTAATTTTTAATTATAATGAATAATAAAACACCAGCGGCATAATCAGAAATGCATGCTTAAAAGTTGGCATTTTATGATTTTTAACTCCTCGCTCTTCTAAGGGGCCGTTCACTTATGACGTCCGACATTTAGGGATTTTGTAACAGTTCAAACAATGGAAATTTTTTTCTATAGAATTTTTGTGACAGAGAAGGGGGGAGGGGGGTCTAAAAATCAGGTTTTTTGATGGACGTCATATGTAAGTGAACGACCCTTAACAAAACTGGTAAACATTGATTCCACTCTCGACGGCAATTTATTACTTCAGTAATTATGCTAAACCATCATAAAAATCATTCATTAAGGTTTCAACGAATAGAGCTTGTTTCTAGTTGAACTATCATAAAATGTTCTTTTTAACAGCTTTTATAATCCACCTTAAATCCATCAAACCATGTAAAAAACTTTTGATAAAAATTAAGTTTTTCCAGTTTTTCATAAACTTTTGATAAAAGTTACATTATAATAAACTTTTGAAGCCTGAAAGGGGATTTAAAGCTTTAACTTTTAATTTTTAATTTATAAGAAACTTTTAAGTGCTACATGTTATCCGATTAATTTGTAAATTACTTGCATTTGTAAACAGATTCTAATGAACTCAAATATTAGTGTCACAATATACAGATTGTCATCTGTATCAATCCGAGCATTTGTTCTATAGTTTTTTTTGACTAGTTTGATAAAATATTTGTTTATAAACATACTTAATGTTGTAGATATTTACTTAATTATAGGTTTAGTCGATATGAAACTAGGTGAATAATGTAATGTTAATATTTTTGACATGATACTACGTTCTAGAAAAAGAAAATCAATTAATCAATCACACCTGATAGTGTTAAACGAAAAAAAAAATCCATTCATGTTATTAGATATTAATTATGTATTCAGAGCATTTTATTAAACATTTCTCAATGTATTCAGTTTTCTTTTGAATGAATTTATCAAAAAGCCCGCATTTACGTACTATTTCATACTTCATTTAATAAATGTGCTGTCTTTTTCCAGTTAGTATCTAGCATTGTTCTTTATTTTACTAAAATTCAAATTAAATCAACGAGATATTTTAAGAAATAAACGAAAATAAAACATTAAAATTAAAACATTTACGCCAATTAAACCTAAAATAATCTTTCCAATTTGTCAAAATTTTATGAGCATAATTTAATTAACAAAATCCACCAGACTGTAGTCAATAATAAGCTAGGGAAATTTACAGAAGCACTTCCATCTCTCAATTCATCTCCTTTTCCGCTATTACATAATTCATCATAGCATAATTGACACTTGACATTGCTCTTGAACGTTTTCTTCTGCTTTGTGCAATAATTATTCAGAGGACCTGATTTCTCGCATGATCGATGATACATTGTGCTATTATTGGTTTCTGAAATTGGAAATTCATAAAAATAGATGGATTTCATAACATGAAGCATAAAATTGCAAAGCTATTGCTGAAACTTTCGAGATTTCTTCAAAACATTTTATTGTCTCTTGATAAAAATTCTTTGCTCCAAGATTTTTTGATTTCTTGATTTCATTTTTTTAAAGGAAGTATGTTTATATCCTTCTGTCGAGATTGCTCTTCAGCATTTATATTTTTAATACATCACGAATCCTTTTGATAAGGTTACCCAGGTGGCAATGTCAAATTTATTATTTCATCTTTTGATTTACGTCGTTTCACAAAAAAAAATACATCTAGCATTTCTCGAAAATGAATCAGAAAGTAAGAGGCATTTCTAGGTACGAATTACCTGCAACACTTGAAAGATATGTCAAAAGTTGCTTAAATAGAAGCTTTTTAAAATAAAAGCTTTAATCAGAATCTTGGGCAAATGTGTAAATTAATTTAAAAGAATGACAAAAATTTAAAAAATTAAAATTTAAAATTGTTTTCAAAACTATAAAGCAGCATGGGCTTAGTGGTTAAAGCATTTGCCAACCAACCCTAAGTCAACCCTGGTTTTATCCCAGGAAATGTCTAGTCAGATTTAGTTTCTTTTCCGTTGTTCTAGTCATAGTGATTTGGTTTGTGTGATTCGCCACGCGCAAACTTGAGCTAGGTATGTAAATTGCATTGATATACCTTGGGTCGTGCAGCTATGCGAACTTACAAAAAACAATATGTCTGTAAAGACAAAAATCATATCATTTCGATGAACAGTGCATCAAAAATCAATAATTATAGTCAACAATTCAACATTTAAGATAAGATAAGCTGCCGCTTGAACACTTCAAATATTTTATAAGATAAATTTGTAACATTGTAAAAAGGAAATAAAGTTAAGGTTTTTTTATAAATAAAAATGTGACGAAGAACTTTTGCGTATCGTAGCTAGTGCACAATCCTTTTGAATCGTTTAATTTTTATCCAAATTGCCACCATAAATTCCGAAAATTAATCATGAGCTTTTTGTCGTATGTTCATTTTACAAAGGATGAAATTGGATTAAATTATACAAGAGGACAATCATATCACTCTTTTTTGTAAACGATACTCAAAAGCTTTTCAAAGCTCTTAATTCTTTACATTTAAATATTTTCACTCACTTATTTTCATAATTTTAATGCAAACTGGTTTTATATTGACAAGCCTCTCGTATGACTGTGATGTGCAATTCTGAAAAAAAGGATAAAATATTAATCATTTCATTTTATTTTCAAACAATAATTAAAAATTCCATTCTCTTTACTTGCAATGGCAAATTTTTACCATTCAGGCATTGTATTTGATCAACATTTGTACACGTGTAGCAGGAAAGAGCTGCAAAATAAAAGCGTTATTGGATGTTGAATTATTTTATTTTTATAAGCAGGAATTGAAAAACTTACAATCAGAAAGGTGAAAATTTAAAAAGATAAAGAAAAGCGAAGCGATGATGTATTTCATTTTTTTTTCCTTTTGAAATCCACTTGAGACCTTTTTTGAATGGAATCCCTTTTACGACTGAAAAAGGTTGAATTTCATTGCATGAGTTATTTCTGTGATTTTCTTAAAAAGCGATGACACGAAATCATAACTAATTAATAATATTATTGTGTATATGACCTAAATTATGACAGCTTTACACGCATAGATAAAATAAGCATTTTTTTAATTTGAAGAATTTTTTTGAATAAAATGACAAAAATAATAAATCTTAAAACCATTTCGTAATTCCACATCAACTTTCTTGTGAAAATGTAAAGAATTTTATTAAATAATTCACTCGCTTATGAGAAGAAAAAGGCTTTCAAGAATGAAATGAAAAGCGATGAAATTTTCATTCTGCATTACTTCACTCGAGAGACATCAAAGCAAAAATCAAACTTCCTATTTATAGTCAAATTTTTATTTTCTGATACCTTCTTACGCTAAAGGTTTTTAATAAAATGATAAAGGAAAGAAAACAAAAAATTCTTCCTATTTCAAACATAAACGGCTTATTTATTTCTTAAAAGGCAAAAATGCCGAGTTTGTTTGTTCTCGCTTAATAGGCCCGATCGGCACACATTGAAATTCATTGAATTTATTCAATTGGCAATGACAACCACGTGGCAAACACTTGGAGTCTAGTTGGAAATGGCTTTCAAGCGAATGCCGCTTGGTTCTAATTATACTGTCCTCCCGGCTGCAGGGTGGCAAACATTTTAATGTGTGCCGATAGGGAGGAAATATAAAGAACCGTTTGAAAAATTGGGATTTGAAGTATTTTATCGCTGAAATAAGGATAATTGGATGTAAAGATCCATATTATGTTAGGAGTATTTAATTTTTGGGTTGTGAATGACTTCTTTTGAAAAATTAATCTTTATCCGAAAAAGATCAAAAATCAACGTAAGACGGAAGGAGGTCTTTAAATACTATATCAAAAAGTATTCATTGTAAGTTGGTATCAAAATTTATCTCAAAAATGCTTTGAAATCAACTTGTTATTTCAAAATAAGAAGAATATTCAACTTATGTGAACATGACTATGAAAATGTGCTTTAAAGCCTATAATAACTGTGAAATCATATATACGTGATGAATAAGAATCAGTTCTGAATCCTTTATTTTATATTTTTAAGCATATTCTCATTTTTTTTCTCTTTTTCTTTAAATCATTCAACATTATTAACTCTTGAATATTGTCAATCTAGTCTTGCATTAAAACCCTCAATTTTCGAAAGCTCATCAACTGAAAAATTATATGATAGAAAGCACAAGAGCTGAAATAAAAAAGCATTTAATAACATTTTCGCTCAGATAGCAAATTCTTAAATTCTTTGAAATTCACATTCATAATTCCACATGTGTGTTCCATGTCTCAATGAATTGATAAATTTGGCACTCGAATCGATTGAAAGAAGGAAATGTGGCAGGAATCATAAGTTTCTGATTGACTCTGAGAATCCATAATCCGATAAAATGTGGAAAATTATTTGAAATACTTTGGTGAGCCTTATTTAAGGTTCTTATGATGAGTCCTAATGGATTTAATGGATATTAAGCTCTTTTGATTTTACTTCAAAAATATAAAGCTGGTTTGTCAAGAAAAATTAGTAGCAAAATCTAGTAATAAAAATTTCTTTAGATTAATGCGTAGAAATTTTCTAAAGTACTTTTTATCAGCAATTTATCAAGCGCGGAATTATCAAGAAATTTATTTTTTAATTAGTAACATTGAAGTGGATTTGCTTTCGAACTCTTCATCCTTACCTCTTATATATCTTCAGATGTAGATAGAAACAAAAATGCTAAGCAACTAATGAAGAAGGATACTTTGTTGCAGCTCAATGATTTAGCAATTTTATATTTCTGGTGTTTGCGGTTTTATTTCCTTCTTTTACTTTATCTCCAGAAAATGCCAAAAAAAAGAAGGAATTTAAATAAGAAATTCTAGTTTCGGTAAATTCTAATTTTTGAAAATTAATTTGAGAAGAATCTTTAAATAATCAACATTTATTAAAAACTGGATATTATTAAAGTGTCGTTCATAAATGATGTCATTCAATTATTTTGGGTTCAACTTAGGTTTCCAAAATATGAAATACAAACAAAACAAATATTCTTTAAAAAAAAGTTCGATGCATAAAGTCAATGACACACAATAAATTTAATAAAAAATCTTTTGAACTTTTTGTGTAGTCTTCAACACATGAATAGAAACGACATAAACAAAAGATGAGGTGCATGAGTAAAAAAAATATTCACGTGAATGCAGTCAAATAATTTTTCAGCATTTTTCTCCTTTTAATCTCTTTTCTGAGCAATTTCTTTCACAAAATAGCAAGTACAAAAAATGACAAGAGCAAATAATTTAAGCGCGATAAACTTTTTCGTTGCTTTTTGCAGCTGCTTACTCTTATAAATCATTTTTAAGAGGCTTTTGAACTTTGAGAGGCGAACTAAAGGGAGAGTTTTTTAGCGAAAATTTTCGCATGATACGATTTTTATTATTTATACATTGTAGGTGTTTCGTCACTTTCAGTTTACTTAATGTAGCTTAATGTATTTGGGTATTCTTTTAACTCCTTACTACATTGTATTCTAGGAAATCTGTTTATTTGAAGCTGTTCACTTGTTACATCATACATATTGTAAATTTTCAGACCTAATGACTTATGATTTTGATTGAGTTGGTTACAAATTTTCACTTTCTCACTCCTCTTAATTAAAAATCAAACTTCTTCAAATTTTATTTCACTTAATAAATCTACCAATAATGACAGCACCCTCAATTTCTGATGTCAATAAAAGCGCTACAAAATCATCATCAAAATATGTTAAATTAATTATATTATACACAGCTCTTAATTCACTTCCTTCTTTAAATATTTAAAAAAAATTAAAAAAATGCGTTCTAAAATTAATATCATGGATAATGCTTCACAAACTTGTTCTTTTTTAAGAAAAGGTAAATACAAAATTTTCTTTAATGAAAAATGAAATTGTACAACACGATTAGTCGACAATTGAAGTATCAGCTGTATAGTCTGATAATACTCGCGGATGCGAAGAATTATCAAATCGTCAATCGCCGTCATTGTCGTGTACTTTGAGCCTTTGTGAAACTGTGTTATATTTAGATTAAAAAGTCTCTCTGTGCAAATTATTTATTTTTGTGGATTCCAATATGACTGGTGCTGAAATATGTAAATTTGATCTCGATGAGACCCTCGATAATGAGATAAAATTTGGAAAATATCAATTAATTATTTTTGGACTTATCGCATTTCCTATTGCCTTAAATGGAATTTTCAGCAATGCATATATTTTTACGGCTGGAAGTTTAAATTATAGGTAAATAGGAGGAGGATGTGAACATTTAATGATATTTACTGAGGACCTTGACTTAGATTTTGATTATAGTCGTGATAATTTATACAATTAATTGCTCGTAAAATGTTATGAAATTCAAATTAGATTCCTTGATGCTTTGCCTTTATTTTATTTTTAAAATTAGATACATCCGGAAAAACCAGTTGGATGAGACTTTTGAAATCCACTCAGAATCAAACTTTTATTGCAAAAATGTGAAAAATTTTATTTTATAAATTGCCGACCCTTTTGTAAATACTAAATGCTCAATGATTCATAAAAATCAAGGATAAAACACTATCGTAAAAATTAGAAAAATTTATTTTTTGAGATTTCTGAAAATTTCAAAATTCAAAATAAATTTTTTAACTATTCGAAATAAAGTAAAGTGTAACCCTTGAGTTTGAGGTGGAATATGATTTTTTACCAACAAGTTTCTCGTATGTAAACATTAGCAATTGACCCCAATAAAATATCAAAATTTTGTAGATTTTAAAAACAAATGCATTGATTCAAATGACTCGCACAGAAATTGTTTTCCTCTATCCTTTAAAGTTTGAAATGAAAAATTTGTAGTAAAATAATTTTCCTTTAAATTCACTTCTATCAAGTTCAGATGTGAAATTCCTGAGTGTGATTTACAAAACAGAGAATTTTTAACGCCATGGCTTAACCTCTCGACACCATTTGTTTCCAATTTACCGGAAAAATGTAAAAAATTTCAATATGTATCGAACGAGTCATCTTCATGTAATGTCAAGTCATTCAACCGTTCTGTGATTATTGGCTGCGATTCCTTTATATACGAAGACGATGAAATAACAATTCAGAATCAAGTGAGCAAAGTTTATTCTTATCTTTCTTCTAATGTATAATATTGTTGAAGTGCTTTCGATTATTATCAATAAAATCTATAAAAAAAAATTTCGTAGTTCGACCTCACATGCAATAACGAGTATCAGCTGTCACTTATCGGTACGATTAACAATATTGGACAACTCTTTTGCTACATTTTCACAGGCTTCATGTCAGACAGGTGAGTCACATTATTAATTGGAATGTTATGAAATTGAAAAATGATTTCAATTGGAAAATTTAATAAAATTTACAAAACATTTAAAACTTAAATTTAGGTTCATTTTAATGAAAAAATTCATTTTGCTATCGATTTAGGAAAGTAATTTTCATATTTCCATTCGAATGATTTTTGTTGTCATGAATTATTCATTAATGAAGAACTGTAAATGAATATCCTTGTTCGTAGCAGAAAATCTTTAATTGTTATCGAAATAATTTGATAAAAAAAATTGGAATAGAACATTATAAAAAGCAGTTTCGTAATATACTTAGAACTAATGAATAATATCAATACTAATTAATGTGGAATGCTTTTACAGTCTAAAAATATATATTAAAACTATATAATAACAATCCTTCTTATCAATCATAATAATAATCACTAAGATAATATTTTCTCTACTTCTATAGATACGGTAGAAAAATTGTTGTAATCCTCGGATGCTTGGGTTAGTAAAAATATCATAAAAGCACAGAATTAAAGATAACATTCCTATTAAAGCTTAACATCTACACATAAAAATCTGGAAAAAAAATTACAACATAATTTTAATTTTCTCATGCAACAGGAAATGGCATATTCGGTGTGTTACGTGCCTTCTCATTCAATTACTATCAATTTGCAGCATTTGAATTTCTTGATGCACTTTTTGGTTCAGCAACATATGCAGCAGCCTACATCATAGGTAAGTAAATTTCAATCTCAACCACAGAGTCATTTCTGGCATCAATGTCAGTTCAACAATGTGAACCACAATATTACCATAGAGTTGTACATAACATGTTTTCTATTTTAGGTTTAGAGCTAGTTACACCACGTTTGAGAACAATTTCCGGGACAATCCTTAATTGCTTCTATGCACTTGGTGGTATCTACTTGGGACTTATTGCCATGTGGTTTCAGAACTACAAAGTTTTGCTGCTTATCACATACATTCCATCATTTGTCGTGTTATCTTATATATATCTGCTTCCACAAAGTATTGTACATTGTTCTTTCTAGTGGCACATTTTGAGAGGAATATTGTTAAGTTTGTGCAATAAGCTTTTTAAGTCAACAATCAATTCAATTTGTGTGATTGTCGTACTTAAAAAGTTTGTTTGACTATTAATTAGAGCCCTTCTTACCTATAAACCTCTCAAAAATGCGCAATGATCACTTAAAATTTAATGATGCAGTCCTGACTTTAAAAATTGCATCTTCTTGTTATAAGACGGATGAGTTAAGACTAAAGCATTCATCTTCTTCAAATATCCCCTTCATCATTCGCAGGCATACGATGGCTGTTATCAAAAGGCAAACATGAAGAAGCAAGAAAGATTTTGAACAAGGCATGCAAGTTTAACAGAACCAAGATGAGTGTTCAAACATTAAGTTCGTTAAATGAGAAAATTGAAATGCAAAAATCAAAGGATACGAATGGAAACATTGCTGACGATAGTGAATGGATGAAGAAAATCTCATTGAAAATTGTTATGCAGATTGCTAATTTAGCTTATTGCTGGTTTGCAGTTATCTTCGTTTACTATGGTCTCAATCTGAATTCTGTTTATCTTGAATATTGGAACAAGCACGTGAATTTTATTGTAAGCAAAAAAAATGAAGTTGGAAATTTGATTTAAATTCCAAAAAGAATAATGTTTTGAATCTTTATGCTGATCTTTAAGATAAACTTTCTTATCAAATTATTGGCCAATCCTCCCTGATTTTATTTAGATATTTAAGTCATGACTGAAGTTTCCCATTGTTCATTCCAATTTCTTTCAATTTACAATCCGTATAAATATAGCGTTTTTATTTTTTCACTTCTTCTTTTCATCCTGTCACAGTTTGTTTGTGCAATTGAATTGCCTGGCTATTTCATAACAAACTTCCTAATGGAGAAGCTTGGCAGAAAAAAGACGCTTTTTATTGGAATGATGGGAAGTGGCGTTTCTTGCATCCTTGCAGAGCTTATTCCTGGTCACATATCCAAGACAATTTTCTACGTGTGCGGCAAATTACTGATTACAATCGCATTCAGTTGTCTGTACATATTCACAATTGAAGTCTTTCCAACAACTCTACGACATCGCTTCTTCTCTATATGCAACATTGTTGGTAGAATTGGATCGATTTTAACACCTCTAACGCCTCTCTTAATTGAGTTATCGCCTAGTTTGCCGTTACTATTGTTTGCATTACTATCATTCAGTTCAGCTGTGTTCCTTTGTTACTTACCAGAAACACTGAACCGAAAACTGCCTGAAAATATAGAAGAAGCTTTTAATTGATATTAAATTAGGATGAGAATAAAATGTTCACATTTTTTATTTTTATTTACTTGATTTTTAATTAACATCCATTCAATAGCACATTATGTAAAAGATCTTCATTGAAATTTTCATTTTACTCCTGCGAAGTCATCTCTATTTTTGGATGAAGTGGCATTCATAAACATTAAAGTTCCCATTGGACTCTTTTAATCGATATTCATCATTTAAGAGATGGAGGATTGTGAAACTTTAAACTATAGAATTTTTGAATGAACATTTTAATCTGTAGATATCATAAGTTCGTTGATTTTTTTTTAATTTCACGACCAGTGTTGCAAATGTAGATGTCTACACTAGATGAAGAATGTAGATTCTTCAATAGTTTTCGTCTAGCTAAGAAACTTTCTTCATAAAGATCGATTCTACATGAAGATAGAAAATCTAATCTACACAAAGATTATTTCTACATAAAGATTCTGTCTACATAAAGATTCGATGTAGATGTCTACAATTCTACATTTTTTCCAGGTCTACATCAGAGAAGAATGTAGAATTGTAGACATCTATATCGAATCTTTATGTAGACAGAATCTTTATGTAGAAATAATCTTTGTGTAGATTAGATTTTTTATCTTCATGTAGAATCGATCTTTATGAAGAAATTTCTGTCTCAGAATTTATCTGATTCAGACAAATGGCCAGAATGCAACACTGGTAGATATCATAAGTTCGTTGGTTTTTTTTAATTTCACGACTTAACAAAAACATGTTCGATCAAAATAATCGACATCCTGAACAAATGCAAAATTTATTAACTTCGATCAAATATAATCATTTTTGCATTAGTTTTCATAACAATAAATCGCTGCTCAACAAGAATTTAGCTGTAAAATAAAAAAAAATCAAATTTAAAGGTACGTCAGCCCTTTTCATCACTTTTAATTCAGAAGTAGGTCACGAGTTGAATAAAATATAAATTCAATTCATTCACTTCCATTCATTTCAAATGAAAGAGAATTGAAATTTTTTAATTAATTTCTTTATTTCTCATAAGATATTTTTTTTTGTTCTTAGAAAAAAACATACGAATTTTTATAAAATGTTTGTGTATTAAAATTTTTTCGCATAAGCTCATTATTGTTTTTCATAATTTGGTTTATATACATACTTTGTAAATACTTTATGTTTAGATATCTTTTGCTAATGTTAGCAATTGAGGATAGATTTAAGTATTCGCATTAAGTAGAAAATGCTTCCATTAAACTTTCTTTTTTTCATGATTTAACATAAAAGTTTTGGCTCATTTGAAATATTTTGCTCGGGGAAGTTGGGAAAAAAAGGCAAGAAAAGTTTATTTGAAATATTTGAAGGGGAATTTTTATTTCTTGCCAAGGATAAGTAATTCTCTTGCTTACAATCAGAGTTTCAATTATTTATTTGCAATGTTGCTACAAGATGATCTGTGAAGAACAATCTTGTATTGTCTTTTACTAGATATTTTATCAAATTCGTTAAAATCCATTCATTAATTAAGACTCTTAAGCAAATCAACCTGACTCTGTTAAATCTAGCGAAATTCTTTGTAATTAAGTAAAAAGTAGACATGCACCACTCATATCCGAACAAAATATGCTAAACAATTTTATGAAAAGACTGAGTACAAAGAACTTCCCTGTTTGCCTTTCTCTTCTTCCGCAAGAACTTTTCAAATTATTTGCGAATCAAAATAGAAATAAAATGTATTTTAAAACACTCGACGAAGGAATAATTTAAAGCTCTTTTCATGATTGTGAATTCGACCCTACTCGCGTAATAAAGAAGAAGTTATTTAAATTTGCTCAATTTTTCTTTATGCTAATCTCAGGATTATCCCATAAATAATTCAGAGCCGAGCATTATACTCATTTTGTGGTACAAGCCTTCTGATACGGTGTGATGGAATGGATAAACTGTTAAAAAAGAGATTTTAATTTACACGTTTTGAGTCTTTGAGGAAATAATCCCTTAATTATTGTAATTAAATAATAATGCTTGGAGCAAGTTCGCGTTGTAATTTAAATAGCTAATTTTGAATCGGATTTAATTTAATGAATTTCAATTACTACACTTTTTGTGGTTCTTTTGTTTTAAAAATGAAAAGTTTTATGACTCAATTTTATTAATATCAAATTATTTCATAATAGTTTAAATGATGATTGTGGTATATTAGTGGGGAATTAAATTGTAGTTTTAAGCTGTTTAATTTATTAATTGAAAAGGTCTTGTCAAAATCATTTATTGTGCTAGAAATAGTCAGAGCTCGAAATCGACTCGAGATTTCATCCGATTTTTTATGATGTAGTCGACTCTACTCCATACAAAATATCGTCAACTTTAAGCTTTGGAAAAAGTTAAGTCTTGTTTGAAAATGTTTTCATTCAGAACATTTTCAGAAATTGCATGCGCCTCATTTCGAGAACATTTATTAATTTCATGACTGAGTGTTTTGCATACATAACTTTCACCATCTGACGAGGTTCAATGAAAAAGTGATGATTTTTATGAATTTGTTGAATCAACAATTTTTGCAAAAAAAAAACATTTTAAATTAAGTTTTGATTTACAGGAACTATTTTTTTTTAAAGTATGATAAACAGTTATATTGCAAAGTTGATGCTTGACTGTTTTCAAGCTTTAAACTTATGTCACTTTCAGATTCCGATTCCGTAAGTTTAAAGGCACCAAAGCACAATTGAATATCCAAATTGTTCATTTCTGTTTCAGTTGGGATTTATTTTAGACCGTCTTTTCATTTTACAAAATTTTAAATAGCAACATTTTGTGCAGCAAAATTTTGGTCTCCAATTACAATAAGTATGTATGTGCTGACAATATTTTCCAAAAATAAACACACTGATTTTGACGATCTAATTTCACATGTGTTTTGTAATTAACATTTTAATTTCCTTTTATTACGTGTGTAAATATTGCAACTAGAGCTTCTCAAGTATTTTAATTTAGGAAGCCTAATTATGAATAAATATTATCACAGGAACAATAACATAACATGCAATCAAATTTCCATTTTACAATTATTCATCATGGAAACTGAGTGAAACTACAAGCACAACATTCTTTGTTGATTTTCACTTTAGTAATTTTAATAAAAAAGTAAGTATGCTATAAAACGAGTCAGTTACATAACGAAGAATGCTACAATCTCTTACGGAAATTTTCCTACTCATGTAAAATCAACAAATGCTATTGCATAAATATCGGAATGTTTTTCCAAGAATTTCAAGCACAAAACAAAAAATACTTTATTATGTCTTTCGCGCACATGGTGTGGATGTTATAATATTAAACTTATTCATCTTCTACCCAGTTTCCTTTTTATTCATTTTCTCAACGTTTAAAAAGGAAAACTTTTCGACTTTTCACGCATTTTTATTTGAAAAATATGTAAATTGCTTGTTCTTTGGCATCGTGGTTGTTTGTAAATTAAAGGGATGTGCGGAGGATTTACATGAAAATTTATGTTCTTATTCTTTAAGAATGAGTAATCCCTTTTATAAGGATGTTGAATGTTTGAAAGATGTTTGTTTTTTTAAAGGCTTCGTTCATCAATGATGCTTATTATTTAAAGAGAGGATTGTGTGTCGCATTGTGACATTTCATTTGTGACAAAATGAAAATTGGGTGAAATATTGTGATACAATGTCGGAGGGGGTCCAAATAGGAGTCGGAGGGGATCATTAGCGTCATTTATTAAGATCCTAAAACAAAATCAAATATTTAAATCATCTTTTAATCCCAAATTTTTATTTCCTCTTTCTTGATTTTCTAAAACTTACATTAAATAGTCTTAAGGCTGCTCATTTAAATAAAAATAAACAAAACTCAATGAAAATGCGTCTCAAGTTAAATTACTCTTATGCCTGCTCCAATTTCTCAAGTAAAATTATATACGTGATCCGATCTGACTGAGATGCGGAAGGAAGATTTTTTCCCCACATAATGAAAAAAAAAAACTCATGACGTACACTCGCATGTGATGTAAAAAGTTGCGGTACTAAAGTACTTGAAAGCAAAGTTTTGTTTTTAAGAAGTAGAGAAACTTTTTGCACATCATTAAATTTAGGGATCAAAAGTTCTCATTAAAATTGTTCTTGAATTTGTGACTTTTATTGACTTTTTCTCTCGCTCTCACTTTAATTCAATGTTAAGTGATAAGGAGCTGCTTTAGAAACGATAAGAATTATAGCAAGTAAATATTGTGGTTAGCTAGAATAGACTTAATAGGTTTATTCTACTTAATAAAATAAATTGACTGCCTCAGGGACTGCCTTCAAATCAGTCCAACAATTCAATAGGTATAAATTTTTAATATTGAACCTTTTTTTTTCTTTAAAGAAGATGTTGACACCATTTTAACAAATCAAAAAAGTCATTCATCCTTTTAAAATAAATTCAAAATGGATTTTTTAATAAATCTTTAAATTAATCTAGGCAAAAGCATTAACTCCGTACTTATTTAATATCACATTCAATATGTAATCAATGAATTGTAAGCTATTTCATAATAAATATATTCTTTTTCTGGCTCACATCCGCTGTCATGATTGTCATTCAAAAATATTATGTAAATTGATACAGAAAATAAAGAAGGAATTGATTTCTTTGTACTGAATTGAATTGACATCTCATTTTTCACCACTGATTGTAAGAATTTTGCTTTGAATGAAGGAAGGATTTATTGATTCTATGATGTTGAGAGCGGAAGGAAGTCTTTTTTGAAATGTAGCATTTGCAAAATGATTTAAATTGTCTTCATAGTTAATACAAATACGTGACATTTAAAAGAAAACATTTCAAGATATGACAACAAATTTTTTGAATCTTCTGTTGGAGAGCTGGAGCTTTTGTTATTTGCAGAGCTCGAAGTCAATAAGGTTCGAGTTGACTCGAGTCGCTCAGCATTATTTTGAAGTTATAAAGCTAGCGTGTCAGCTGAGCTTCGCTCAGCATAAGTTTGGAGGTATAAAGTTAACACGGTTTATTCCTTCACAATACCCAACCTAGAT